CTGGGCATATTCAAAGCATTAATGAAAGACATCGGTCCTTCACTCTCCCTTATTTGTTTTTACTGAGGTACAGAAGTGGTGTCCAGCATCAGGATGTACAGACAGGTCAGGTACAGGAAGAGGCAGTACTATCCATTTCTTTTTTTCCAATCCAAGCACCTTTGTAGATTTTAAATCTACTTTTGTCATTTCCCACTGACAGATTGAAAATTAATCTGCTCCCTCCATTTTGATAGCACATGGGAGTGTGAGGCATGTTGGAATGTTAACAAACGTTACATTTCACTGTGCACAATCCATTTTGGATTTTCAACATGACACTGGCATGCAAGCTATGTTTTTCGACCTAAACTTCTATTGGTCATTTTGGGGACTTTTACTACAGATTCATTGAAGTCTTGCAGATGTGATCCATTCTGGTTTCTGCTGTACGTCATTTACCCTGCTTTTCCATAGTATTTCAAATATCCATATGTCTATTTCCCCCTCGTGTAGGTGGCAGTGGGGTCCAGTGTTAATCCATTATATAACCAGAGCTTGGGTTAGCGTCAAGGAGGGTGCATATAAAAATAGTGCAACTTAGTCCATGATTCCAATCATTGCCAGAAAAAGCCTTTTTGAATGGGTGCATAATCCTTTATTTCATTTTTTTAAATGTGCTGGCTCTGTTGTTAACTGTGTTTAGCTTGGTATAGTGCTAAGGAGTGAGTTTTGTTATCTTTGACAGTGTCAAGGGTTATAGAACAGCAGTCGGGGGGCAAATTCAGATTTAAGCTAATCATAATATTTATTGGTTTTGTTATTGGGTCAAAATAAAATGACAAAAATTCAGTGCACATATGCAGAATAAGATGCTCAATTTTTTGGATCAATTTTTTTGTGATGTTTAGTGTTAACACTATTGTAGTAGTACACAATTTGTTCAATAGCCGGTATGATCAGTAGTATACTGTGGGCTTTCAAAGACTTGGGAATATTTGCATTACAGCCGCTTACATAATTAAAGTACGTTATTTCCAGAGTTAGTATTGTAACTTATAAGTATTACTAATAACACGTTTTACTTAAGTGAGCCTTTTGTTTTCTAGATGAGTAAAATGATGAGCAGTCCTGCTAAACACAAGTAAGGACTAATCAAGCAACACAGAACTCTGAAATCAGTAATCTGCAGCACTTTTTCACATGGCTTATTCCTGGTGTTTTACTTCCTGAATGAAATATCTGCTTGTGACACCATGGAAAATTAGTTGATTTGATAGATGCCACAGAAAAGTAGCATGAAAGCATCTGTCCAGGTCTCCTGAAATTCAGTTTCAGGCTGCTGTTCCCAGAAAAGTGTCATTGTGTTCCTTGCTCTAAGAGGTAATGTGTAGCATACTCGCCTGTTTTATCAAGGGTTCAACATAGCTCTATAATAATGAGGGCAGACATATGTCTAGAAACAATACAATGCTACTAAATAGGCACAAATGTTTTACAATACTTGGTTTGTAATACGCTTGTTTGTACTTTATTGCTTAATAGAACAGGTTTCCACATTATACATTTAGTACTACAGCGTAATAAGCTGCCTGTGGTCACCTGTAAAGTACTACTTGGGAGGCATAGGAGACATACAGGCGCTGTCACTGTCTATTAATGAGAAAAAATCAATGACAGAAAGTCTTTTAAATCTGGTATAAAATGCAGATGTGAACTAGACATTTTTTCCAAAAATAACTAGCTCCCTTCTGTTTCCTTCTCACTTTCTTCAAACATGAAGTCTTCTCTTTGATGTGAAAACTCCCGAAACGGTGCTGGTCCCAGAAAGCTTGTTGAGAGTGTGCAGTGTGAAATACTGACCAGGTTTGCTTTCTTGCTCTTAAAGACACTTTCACGTGTTCCTGGAAAATGACAAAAAGGGGCTGTGCTAGGTGACTTTCTCTCCCTAAGACTGTATTGTTAAGAGCACCAAATCATATGCGAAGAAGGTTATTTTATCTAAGGAGCAAGCAGAGGTGAATTCCATGCTGTGCATCGTCTTCATTGCTTGTCAGCGAGCATCCTTCCTGTAAGAGCATATTGTACTTAGCAATGTCAGGGCAGTTTTGGGTCAATGCAGAACCTAAGTTCCGATGCATTAATCTTCATTGGGACACATTGTACATAATTGCACTTCATGTATAGTTGTTACTGAAGCGGGATTACTTTAGATTGTGCACCTGCTGAAGCTGAATTTTGTTTTTGTATTCTCTATAGATTTACACAAGTGTTCATGCTCTGTCTTATTGCAGTCATTCTATACATCACATGCTGACTTTGTTAGTCATATACAGTCTTTACCTAAGAAAATCTGCCCCGTGGAATTTTTCTTTCTTTAGATTCACTGAATTTGTGAATAACGTATTTTTCTCTTTAGTTTTATTGCATTAATCAGTGGAATTCTTCATTCCAAGCGAAATTACAAGCTATCTTCTGATAATGTCTGTTCCTGACAATAAAAGCTGGAAGCCGAAACCAAAATCTCCCCATTCAGTTATTTTGTAACTGTCAAAACATCTTACCTCTGTAAGCAGCTTCTGTTTTGTCATCTTGAATTGATTTAGATGCTATATTATCTTTATAATCTTCCCCACCAGTGCACCTTTTTATAGGAAAAACCAGTGGTCAGATAGAAGCCGCTGGCTGTAGCTGTAAATGAAATGTGCTTCTTCTCTTACTGGGTACGGCTGGGTCTCTGCTTCAGGTAATGCCTGTGCATGCCGCTTTCACATGCAACATGGGAATTGGGGATCATTTTTACTCCACAGGTGTAATAATACAGTGTCATTTTACTGCTGCTTTACTTTTGATGAATTATCTGCCATTGTAATGAAGACGAAGCCTGGAGCCCAGTGTATTGGTATGTTGAGTTGGCTTAGTGATCGAGTTTGGCAGCTTGTAACTAAAGTCAACAGTAACAGCTGGTTTACGGTCTTTTTAAATTAGAACTGAAATAATGGACTTCCTTTTCTTCACTACATTTAAAAAGCTTTGGAAGCTTTGTTTGGCAAAATGCATCATATTGATTTGACACCTTTTCTAAATCATCGGTGTATTTAAAAATATGAGGTAGTTTTTAGTCATGAAATAGCTGTTACTAAAGTAAATTTGTTTTGGATGTGCTTTTCAAGCAGGAATTCCAGCAGTACCAGATCACATCTGCTAATAAATATATCCCCTGTGGCTTATAAAGAGAATGCCATTAATTTTTTTGATGAATCACTGTTTAAAGAGGAGGCATTTAAAAAGCTCCAGCTGTTAATCCTTCTACAAACAGAAATAGGAAGTATTAACTCTCCATGGTCTGTGATATCAGTGAGACTTTTTGGGGATTTTCTGCAATAAAATAAAATTGTTACCCATGACATGTACATTATACTATTGCATTTACCTTTAATTACAGTAAATTCTGGTGCCTGTAGATCAACCACTTACTGTCATTTTTTACTTTCAATTGTTTTACTGTCTGGTGATACTAAACTGGCTTTCCTTAATGAGAACTGTTCAGAACAGTCGTAGATGGGTTTTCAAACTCAATTTGGCTAACTTGAATATCACTGGATTACAATGGTTTTGCTCCCACACCTTTTTATTTCATTTTTGACTGAATAATTTCTTAATAATAAACCCCTAGACAAAATCTGCAAAAGGGCAATGTTTTTGTAAAATACTGGAGTTCCTATCAATAACAGGAAATGCACAAATAATGAATCAAGGCAAAAATACGTTACTATTGATGAATATCAGTGGTGCCCTATAGGGGAAGATCAGTTGCTTACAGTAGGTGATTGGGTTTCATAAGCTTTCACGCATTTTGTACAGAATGTTTGATATGAAATAAAAAGCTTGTATATTTGTGAACAAGGTACAGGAACACTTTTCGTTGGCCGTATTGATGGCAACAGTTGAAGTTAAAGGCAAACATAGTATATATACTATTTTTGTAAGTAATAGTGTTGACGGGCTGAAAAAATGTAGTTTGTGATTTAATGGACATTCTGTGATAACTGCCTTCCTCTAATTAGCTCACAAAACCAATGTTTCAATGTAATTTAATTACACGCACATTTGAAAAAAAAACATACACGTGGTGTTTTAGTTTAGACTATTGAGGGAACATATAAGATTCCCCTTTTACAATTGTTTATCTTCATCACACAGTTTATGAGTTGTAGGCTCTTTCACAGTGTTTTTTTTGATGAATGGGAGAAATCTTTTAACTTCACAGCTTTTAAAATAAGCTTGGAATACTATGACCCAGAATTCATTCAAGAGACTGCTGCTCATTAAAGTGGAAACTTGGGTCTTTTCCTGCATTACATTTACCGTTATTCTAACTATAAGGATCCTTTCTGTACCTGTCCTTGCACATGTAATAATACTCTTGCTTCAGTGACTTGCCTTCTGTGTCTTGATTGTTCAGTGATGATTGATGTTTTGTGAATGTGAAGTGAAATGTGACATGCTTGCCTGTACAGTGCAGATGTCATCCGGGCCTCAAGGGAGGTCACTGTGGTGCAGAAATGAGTTCACACCTGTGGAAGGGGCTGTTTTTCTGATACTTTGCTTAGCCACCTGCTTTCTGTAGTTTTGCAAAACAATTTCTGTACTTCCTGTACAGTTCTGTGCTTTATACAACATTTCAGCCAATGAGTGTTTAAAATTTTGCAAATTGTTGTCCTTGAAATTTGAGCACAAAAAAAACAGCACGTAACAGAATAGGGAGAAGGTACAGGGGCTGTTTTGATGTTGTCCAACGTTAGAACCACAACACGTATTGCGCAGTTTCCGAACAGATAGCTTTTCAGATGCTGGAAAGGCTTCAAAAGTCATATCGGGTCTGTTGTTGTGTGGGTTTGTCAGCTGCGTTAAGCATTGCGCGGTTAAAAAATTGCTTTTTTATTTTGAATGAACACCTCCTTTCACATGGGATCTTGAGATGGGTATGCTAATCGGCTTTTGTTTCTGTTCATTTTCAGCGTTTGGGAGATGTGAAGTAAGGTTAGACGACACCGAAACTGAGCAATCTGTGCATTGACACGATCACCCCACAACTTCAGGATGAATGGGGATATGCCTCATGTTCCCATCACCACTCTTGCTGGGATTGCTAGCCTCACAGACTGTAAGTATACCTGCTGTAAGAGAATGCCTGTTATGCTTACCAACACACAGTGTGGAATGGGTCATTTTAATAGGTTAGCACTGTATATATGTAAACACAGCCAGTCATTTATACACTGCACCCACTCATATACGCACACAGGAGCACGAGAGATTACTCTTAAGGGTCTTTGTCAAGGACGAAATACTGGATAAAATACTTGGATTTACAGGATACGAGGAGTGTTTTTTTCACTTGGCTGTCTTGGTGAAAGCTGGAGATATTTTGGAAGCATCCCAATGGATTTGTATTGACTGTGATGGGCAGCGCTGGAACTGGAAGAAAAAGCAAAACATTGGATTACAACAGTTTACACATGGGGCAGTTTGTGGATTAAACTCTGAGGATGAATTGATCAGTTTTTTTTTATTTTTTAATGGGATCACATTTGGAGAAGAGAGGATTTTGTTTGGAAAGACCATCCAGAATACACAGAAGCCTATTACCTGAAACTGGATACCGCAATAAAGGAACCATGCAAAAACATCTCCAAAGAAAAGAATGCTGTGCATGTTTTGTCTTCAGCTATGAAACATCAATTGATCACAGTTCACTCCACAGGTCACTGTACCTTTACTATCAGCTTTCCCATCCCCTGCTATGGTTGACATAAGCGCTAGTATCAGAAGGGTGATCAATGTGTTATTCACTTAGTGTATTTTACATTTCACTTAAGTATTTTTAGGCTTGTTTGACCCATAGGTATTACATTCCATTTTGTATAGAATAACACACCATGAATTTTGTGAGTGCCTTAAACATGTGCTTGAAGATCGGTGTGAAGAAAGGTATGATTTATCCATAGTAGACAACAATACTCGTGTTTTAAATTTTGGAATATGTAGTGTTGTTTAGTTTCAAGTTTGGCTGTTAGCCCTAAATCTTTATTTGTGCAAAGTTTTAGAAATATGTACTGTTTGGAAAGAAAGTGTAGTGTCACATTGAAAAAATGTTTATTCTCGTATTTATCAAGTTGAGGGAGTATTGGAATTTATATTCCTTCAATTTTAACAAATTAGATGTTTGTCTTAAATTAGTCAAAAAACGCAAGGTATTTGTGTTTTTGTATTCATAAAGAAACATGAACACCAGTAGTTATAGTGTAGAATTCATACAGGTAAGTACAACTGAAGGTAAAGGAAACATTCATACTTTTTTTCAAAAGCTGCTATTGAACAATAAATCTTTGTATAGATTCCTTAATTGTGAAGTACTTTGTTCTATGTAAGGATGCCTTCTATTTCTCAGCAACATTTTTCAGTACCATGTAGCAACATATATGATTTATAAGGAACTGATTGATGAGTCAAGATAGTATGGCACACCATATTTCAGCTACTACAGTTGTTTCTACCTTATCCAGCGCAGTGCTGAAGGCTTAAGCTTTAGTAAATATATCTGGTGCTTGATACTTAACAGGACATTATTGTATGAATGAAATAATATCATGCATGTTTTCTCTTGTTTTAATAAGGGGTGTAGCAGTAAAAAATAAGTAGTAATAAATTATGGTAAACCTTCCCTGTACTCAATTGAACACAGTATTCACAACTGCAGTGTTGTAACAATAAGGATTACATAAAACAGACTAGTGGAACGAACATCATTAACAGATCTTCCATCTGTCATTTTTGCATGTGGTCAGACAAATGGTCTCTTAGAAACCTTTTTAGCACACATTCCGTTATTCGCATTAGAATGAGCGTATTCTTTGTGGTACGCAGTTACTAGACTGTGTACATTATACATTCAGAACAGTAGAGTCCTGGGATTTGCTCACTCTTATCAGTCTTGGGCTAATATTTACATCACATCGTGAGAGTCCCAGCACTCCGGTGTTGTAGTTTATACTAGTTTCAGCACTGCAAGACGTAAACGTGGGGATAGAAAGATGCTCAGAACAAGAGGTCGAATGTTGGTTGTTCAGCAATTGGTACAGTTTCTTTCATATTAGAATACTTTTACTTTGATATTCGTAATGTAGTAAAATTTGAAGGAGTAGCTTTATTTAACCATGATTTTCACAATCCCATGTTGAACTTCACTTAATTAATTAATATTGTCTGTTAATGAGGTTTGACAAGGTAATAAGTAATTAAATAGCTTATTTTATTAGCTATTTACCTTCTCTTTCACCACTTAAGTAAAGTAGATGACGAAGGAAGATTAAAGTAATTTATCATTGGCATATAGTGCAGGTCAGTGGAGTTATTTATTGTTCAAATCTGTAGTTAGTAAATGTAGCACTTTTTGTTGTATACTATTATTCAAGACCTTAAATGTCTACACACCTTTCCTCAATGTTAAACTAAAAACAAAACGTCTAAGGCATTGCTGATTGTTCCTTTCAATTTTTTTTAGTCATTGTGCATGAAGTTCAAGTGCATTGGAATGACGGTTATAATAGTGGTTTCAATGACTACATTTATTGGTCAAAGCATTTGTACTCAGTGAGATACACACTCATACTCTGTATATTAAATAATTTGGTATAGGGTAGCCACAGAGGTGCTGCACCCATTTAGTAAGGTACTTTAGTAAAATACCCAGTTGTATAAATGAATGCAAGCAGTTACTTTAGATAACAGAGACAGTCAAACAGTCTTTGTGTGGCCCTGTGTTACTAAACAAGAAGTTCCAGTTTGAATTCAGCATGATGTGGATATCAGTTTAACTATGAACTGAACAATGAACTGAACTATGAGTCCATAGTAGGAATCTAAAGGCTCAGTGTGTTAGTCTTTTCACAGTCTCTGCTCTTGAGATCGATGTGGACCGATGGCGCATGTCTACTTAAACAGTTATCAGAATAGGTTCATATCTGATATGATCCTTTTTTAAAGAAATCTTTGCTGTATGAATGATCTTCCAGTAGAAAGTATAGAGGAGCCTTAACACCACACATCTACATAAGTGAGTTGTACAGGTATCGCTCCTGTTAAGAAACGTAATAGGGAAGTAAACTTCACCAACATGAATGAATATATCAAACTGTATTGAAGTTGATGCTTTTTTTAAACTTTCTCCTGGCTTGAATACAAACTCTGTATTGTATACAAAAACTCTTATTGATGTGTAGTTTATAAAAGAGTAAAAGCCACAAGTTCACTTGACTGTCACATTAGAATGCAGAATGTTGGTTTAATTTTATACTTTGTAAACAGTTTATTACCTGAATAGTAGGAATGTGAGTGGCTGACTGAACTTTGTCTAGGTTTATCAGTAAAGCAGCTATTCAGACTTGAGAAGAAGCTTGTAGCTTTTATAATTTTAGTCACTGATTTTATGGTTGAACAATTTATTGCATTTAGAAATATAAACCTGATTAAAGGCATTTAGTGTCATCTTCTCTATTGACTTAAAGTTCTGATAATGCCAATGTTTTTTTTACTAATACCAATCTTTCTTCTTTTTTCTTATTCAGTATTAAACCAGCTTCCTCTCCCATCCCCTCTCCCTGCCACCACCACTAAAAGCCTGCTGTACAATGGGAGGATTGCAGAAGAAGTCAACTGCCTTCTGGCTTGTCGGGACGAGAACCTGGTGTCACAGCTTGCGCACAGCCTCAACCAGGTTTCCACAGATCACATGTACGCAAGCAAGACTTTACCTCTGTGTCCTTACTAAACCCGTGCTGCTTTTCACAAGGCATTCAGATATCACCGGCTGTTATTGTGAAGACACCCATACATAACAAAGAAACCTGCTGGCCTTAAACATGCAGTCCGTTTTTCTGATTTATACTCTTCTTTTTGTGCATTGTTAATTTGCTGTAATGAACAACAGCATTGGGATTAACCCGTTTAGGGGCAGTGGTGACACTTTGGCTGCGAAGAAGTTTTCCCTGCTAGCCACACATTGTGAGCCTTTGAGGTCAGGTATTATATGAAGAAGAAAAACGGTTGCTGTCTAATGCCGTCAGAACATGTTCATCTTTATGTGGCTTTTCTTTAAGAATTAACCATATGAATAGATGCATCAATGAGATTGTCATGAAGAGAATTATGTCTAATCACTTGATTTTGAGTTTTTGGTGACTATGTTTAGCTGATATATCTTGATATTATAGTCATTTCTGTACTTTTTATTTCCCAGACGCTCCATTTTTAAGGTGCCATAATATCACTCTTAACAGTAATTTACGGGATCTGGATTATTTTTCGTTATTAGGACTTGATGCACAGAAAATCACTTGGATCACTACAAAACACCAAGTGTTCTGAAATAATTTAACATTGAAATCTTGATATAAGTGGCTTTCTCGGAAAATGCTGTGAGGTACTTCAATTTTAATCTTGTTTCTGAGCAGTGAAAACGTCACAATCTTGTAAGGTCACCACAAAAATGTAATGGAATTTCTAAAGGCTGTTGGCTTGACTCAAGAACTATACGTATATGCGAACAACAATGCTAACAAAGTTTAATCCTTGCAGAGAACTGAAGGACAACCTTGGCAGCGATGATCCAGAGGGGGATATTCCAGTGCTGCTGCAGACCGTCCTGACCAGGAACCCCAATGTTTTCAGGGAGAAAAGTATGCAGAATCGATATGGGGTTCAGGGCGGTAAGGAGGACATGTGGAAACATTGCTGCTAAAACACTTCAGCGGTGCACAAAAACATTTGGCTTCAGAGTGTTTCCTTCTTGAAGCTAAAAAAAACATTTGGCTGTGTCAGAAACTTTTGTCTGAAGTTTAAGTGGCAGCAGTAGAAGTATTACTCAACAGTTCCTTTTTAAATCTTAGTGCTTTAAGGCATAGTTGTATCAAAAATAGGAGTGCTTCTTCATCAGTGTTCTGAATGATGCTAAAGATAAGCAAGAAGCATTAATAAGAATAGCGTGTCTTAAAGCTGTTTTTTTGGCATTTTCATTGCTTGCCTTTTTTTTTAAGTATTGTCCTGTTTGAGATAAACATCACCTTGGTTTAACCTTTCAGTGCTTGTCGATCATTTGATGAATCTTTGATTCTGTTGACGCAATAATGGGATATATCTTCTGTTTTGGCCAGTGCTTCCAGTAACACCAGTATTGTTACAGACTTTTGAACTCACTGTTTACAGTAGCAGCAGAGATTAGTTAAACCTTTGTCACTGATAGTTACAATGCAGTGACAAACCACAAAAGAAAATAATAAAAGCTACAAAAAAAGGAGTAATGCCATTATAAACCTTCTTTCCAGTTTGGAAGTTTTCACGCCCAGCTTTAAACAAATCAAAATTTGCACAGAAATAGTTTAAAAGAAAAAAAAATATTGGGAAAAAAACTTTTGCACAGTCCTCAGACCCTTTATCTTTTAATTCGTTTTTATCATGTATATGAGAGGCTTTGTCTGAACACTAAAGGATGTGCACATCCTTCCCAGAACCAAACTTTAAAGTCAATTCTCAAGAGTGTGGGGTTTTTGAATCGTATCTTTCAAAGTTGTGAAGATAAATATTTTGACCTTGGCTTCTTAAAAGCTTTCATTTTAGATTTTGCATATGAGGTTAATAACATATCTTGTAGACTTGACCTTGGAGATCTTTGTTTGGGGAGAGCCGGTCACAGTTCCAGAGAATAACATTTTCATGCTTTCCAGTAATATGATCGTGCAATTATTTTAATAGCACAAAACTTGACAGTCAACAGAAATAATCTGTGTCTCAATTGTCATCTGTAATTGTAATCAATTGGAATTGACTCGGTTGTAATCTACATAAGTGTATCACCATTTTTATTCATGTAAAGGTGTAATCAGAAAACACATTAATGAAATTTGCCTTCATTTCTGCTCGCATTTGTCATGCAATTGACATTGATTTCATCTTACCTCACGCTTAAGGCAATTTGTGGCCTTTGTTATAGGAATTATTTATCTAGACAGGTTTGAGACACCCCTCTCAAAATCGTCTCCTGTGGTCATTGAATATTTTAGAAATTCAGAATTAAATTTGTAGTCTGTTAGTAAATCAGAAGCATTCAGAGTTTGTCACGAATGCTTAGCTACATTAAAATGTTTGTTGTGGTGAGTACAAAAGAGTGGATAAACTCCTCAACCTCACTGATTTAAGAATAAATAATGGGAAAGTGGACCCTGTTTTCCAGCATCCAGTACTCTTCCTTGCTCTCTCTTCTCTCTCACCATGCATGCTGAATGTGGGTCCTGCTGGCCTTGTCCCCATAGACAGGCTGTGGTTGTCTCAGCCCAAGCCAAAAGACTAGAACGAAACTACCATTAGAATCAGTACAATATGCATTGAGGAGTATGTTGTACAAATTTAAGAAAATGTATTACTGAAGATTAACAGCAGGAGAGACTGTGAAATCAGGATAATGGCCATCTTTAAAAACAGTTGGCGTGCCTGCCCTTCTAACTATGATTAGAAATGTGCAATTTTTGTTTGTAGCCCAGTGATCACTAAATTGAAAATTTTCAAGTGAAAAACATGCATGTTGAAGGCATTAATTCAAAGAACAGCTCAAATGTAGGATTGATTATTATTGATCTGCCCTATCACATCAATGCATTATCAGAAACTAAAATAAAGGAGGAATACTAATCTTGCAAAGCTACTTAATTAATTGAAATGAAACTAATATGGCCTACCATGAATGTAACTGACGTCATTTTAAAACCTTCATAATTCCAGTACGGTGATCTTCCGGAACGATCACAGGATCTTTTGCTTTTCATACTGCTTGAATCCCCATTTCACCAAATTTTCTTTTTTAATTAATCTTTCAAATTGTGTGATATTAACTATAAACGAAAGCGGTGAGGGGCCTGAAGTGACAAAATGGGCGGAACAGTTATGCCTTCAGTGTCACAGTTCATTGTGGTAAACTGTCATCAGATGGAAACCTACTGAGACCTTAAGGTACTTTTTAATAGTGGAATAGATAATTTTCCACTATTAGGGCGAGGTGCTATAAACATGGGCAGTGCTTTACAAAATAGAATTCACTTTTCTATGCATATGCAGGACATGTCTTTTACTTTTGTAAGTATTTTTAAAGGTTCACCAAGAAGATTAGAAAGGTGGTGGTTGTGGAAGTTTAATGTCATACATGAATTTCCTTTTCATGTTGTTCCGATGATCTTGTGATGCATGATCTACCTTTGTTGAAAGTATTCTGAGTTTCTGACCCAGTTAAATGTCTCTTTGAAATATGAACATTTGTATAAAGTCCAAACATAAAGCAACACTGTGCACCTGATGTCTTATATTGTATAAAAGAAAACAAAGCAATGTTAAAATATAGTCTATAGTATTTACAAAAGATCTGCGCGCAAGACTTGCGCCACTAAATTTCTCTACTTCCTAAGGTAAATGGTGAGAATTCAATTTAGCTACATACAAAAAAGTAAGGAACAATTTATTTCTGAAATTACTGAATTTTACTCTGTCGACCTCCTACAGACCTCTGAACTCTTTAAATAGTAGCCTATTTAAAAAAACAGAACCACAAATCATTATTGGAATCTGCAAAATTGAATATCTTGATTTTCTGCTGTTGAATCAGAAAAAAATCAATTAAATTGACTTTTAATTTTGTGATGATTCATGGATAATATATTATTGCATCCATTGTTTGATCTACAGTTAAAGACTTTCTGTCTCTTGAAGTTAAAATGTTTTTATTTTTCTTCTCAGTCCTGCTGTTTGTCTGTGGAGAGAGAGCTCCTCATTATATTCATTGAAATGTGAAATGTATTTGTACTTTCATTTGGTGATCTTTTCATATTTGCAGGTTTGCTTAAATACTACACTGGTTTGAGGAAAATGTCTGCACTTGTAAGAGCTGCAAATTCTTAGTGTATAGTTAAATAATTCTTATTGGGATCTTCTAAATATGTGCAGGGTTCCACAGTAGCTGACAAACTAAATATTCAATCATTTTCTTTAAACAGGAACGATATCACAGTTAAACTTGCGGTTTACTTTGAAGAACGATTTGTCACAGTTTTCCGAGGCTCTAGAATGTTTTGTATAGAGAGATGAATTCTGTAGTCCCATAAATACTGTACTGAAGTTCGAGGAGATTTTAGCTCCTTGAAGAAAACTTGATTGCGACAGTCTTTCTGGCACAACTCGCGTGTGAAACTGGATCGTATTGAATGAGTTAGCGGAGAGCTTGACTTGCTGCATTCCTGATCAGTTTTAATGTTTCAAAACATTTCTAGCTGAGCTGTCTGTTTTGGTCTGGTGTTCTTATTGGGTGCTCAGGGCTTTTGGGTTTTGTCTCAATGTGGTTTTGTGATGCCAGAGGCTTAGAAAGTGAGTTTATTTTAATAGTCTTTTGGTAATGCCAACACCAAATTGGATTCAATGATTCCAAACGTGTTCATGGTATTTTAAGGATGTATGATTTTAATTTAATATTTTGTTATTCCGACTATGTCAGAAATATGCAACCTTTTCACTGCCTTTTTTCTTATTATAATTTTTAGCACCAGCCCTTTCTGTTCCTCTTCAGTGGTGCTTATAGAAACATGTTGCACCTCATGGATCACTATATATGACCATACCATGTTGTATCCCACTAGTGTGAATTGCAGAATTGATAGTATTGATAACATAGTGATGACAGAAAATAGCTTACAATTTCACTTAAGAGGCCACAGAGTTGTACAGACAGTACATGCAATGTTTCCCTTTTGCATTTTTTTCCCATTCTTGTAATTAGTTTGAATAAAAAAAATCAGTATATTCTAAAGAAAAATGCTCTAAGTTAAATCTGTAAAATGTCCATTTCTTAACACTTCTGTGGTGGTGGTAGTGTTGAAAATACTTACATAATAGCAATCAGAAATTCAAGTCTAATGAATTGGTTCAATGCAGCTTTTGGTCAATTCTCTCCACCTGAATAAAATGACTGAATGATTATGTCTTAGTTACACTTACCAAGAGCAGGGCAAACTCCATCTCGGCAAGGTCTTGCAGTGTGAAGTAAAAGAAGAGTATACAGGCATATTAATTTTAATGTCTGAAAGCCCTAGGAAGTAGTTTCATCTTTTCAAAGTAAACCTTCCTTTTTTCTGGATCAGTAGGCTAGCTATATCGCAGCCACATGCCCTTGGAAAGATGCCAAGATTTATATTGGTGGTAGAATTACCAGAGGCAAAATTCATTCATAGGTGTAGTCTATCATAATGTTTGTCTCTGCTGCAGCTCGTCTGTGAATTCTGGGCTAACTGGGGTCAAACAGCTCAGAGTTGCTTTATTGTATTGCAAAATTAATAGGGGGATGCATGCAGGCTGTAACAGTATTATTCTTGTGTCGTGATTGTGCAGAGGGCATAACTGGCCTCATCAGTCTTTAGAACAGTTGTTTAGTGCCTTACAAATCCTTTGTGGGAGAATAAATCCTGCTGGGAAACGAAAATAGTCACCGTTTGCTCTTCCTTTCAGGTATGATGCAGCAGCCCATGATGCCTCAGTACAAGATGGCACAGAATTCCATGCATGGCAGCCCAGCACCTTCCAACTACCAGCAAACCACTATCTCTCACAGCCCTTCCAGGTTGGTCTGCCTCTGTGTCATAATGAGGCCAGACACATGGTTCTTCCGTTCCTTATTTTCCACTGTTGTTTTCATGGTTCCTGACGTGCGTGTGAAATGCCGTTTTTCTTGCTAGTTGGCATATTTATGTTTATTTAACACTGAACATTTATGAGAATGGATTTGTTTCTTTGCTTCTTTTATGCAATTCCTCAATCTTCCTTTTTAATATTAATATTAATATTCCTTTTTAATATTTTAAGCTAGAATAATAGAAACATTAATCTGACACTTGCTTTTTTGACTTCACGTAATTATGTAATACAACACATAATTCTTGCAGTTTTGAAGAGATTACAAGGCTTTGAGTTTCTGTTATTTGCTGATAACCATTTATTGTCCTCTGCAATTTCTGAGAGACAGGATGTTATTTCACACCATTAAAGACATATTTGGTTGACCAACATTTTGTCACTAGCTGAAGTGAAAAATGCTGCTTGTGTGAATTTCTTGAGAATTTGAGGTTTCAGGTAGCTAGGATGAAGTGTCTACTGTCAGCCTAAAATTTTTTATAACACACTCAAATTTTCTTTAATCTGTCAAATACCCAGAGGTGGTAATTTGAGCGTTCCATCTTAAAATACCGGATTTCATATTTTGTGTTTGTCGCGCTTCCAGCTGTGTGCTAAGTGAAGCCATAGTTTTTGTTTTTGATCCAGAACCAATTACAGCAAGCTAATAGCTGTCTTTGGTAAGCAAGCACATTGGTGTTGTGTTTCTCTGATTTGATGGCTGGAGAAAAATGGTAGTTTGAAAACAGTGCAGCCCAACAGTTTTCAGAATCAACAGGCAGTTCAGAGAGAAACCTCTCCCACTTGTCAAAAAATCATGATAGAATTATCTCATTGCCAAGGCATTAAACTAATGCTTTAGCCATAAAGAGAAAGTTTTGCATCTCTTGACTACCTAACCATGTTGCACATACTCTCCTTAAATTATGCTTTTCTGACATTTCAGACAGTCACATTTTTGTGTTTTCTGTGCTGTCATCTTATTTCTGTCTCTGCAGTTTGAGATCTGTGAGAATGCTGACATTGCCCTTTTTTCCTTTTAACAGCCGCTTTGTTCCACCACAGACGAGCTCTGGTAATAGATTTATGCCTCAGCAGAATAGCCCTGTACCCAGCCCTTATGCCCCACAGAGCCCTGCAGGATACATGCCGTATCCACACCCTCCAAGCTACACTCAGCATCAACAGATACAGCAAGGTGAGAAGCGAAGACTGCCACACCCTCTTTTAGGAGACGGGGGAGAAAGCGCACAACACATCTCGACTGCCTTGACACTTCTGTTCCATCGCACGTCTTTGCTCCAGCAAATCCTTAATTACCAAATTGGTCTAAAGCACCTGGGTTATTTAAGAAATTAAGAATCAAAGCAGTAATATAGTGGGGGCTTCAAGGTCCTGTAATGGCATGGAGTGGAGATGCCATGATTGACCACCCCTGCCTATGCTCTTAAAAATAAAAGGCACCTCTTGCGTGTCAGCGTTTTGCATAAATGCACTGCTGTTATCTTCAGTGTTCTGAAACAAAACTGTAATAGTTACATGACTGTGCAAATAAGCCACTCACACCAAAACCTTATGGGGGCATTTTTGGTTTTTTAGTCCCATTATGCAAAATCCTGGAGAATTACTTCATCATGTGAGGTTTTCATGGGTTGCCCATTCTGTTAAGGGCATATATTGAGTTTTCAACTCTTTATATATATATAAAAAATGCAAGGAACTCACTTTCATAAAGGGGTGGAACTGATGGCCTGTTTGCGTGATGCAATCATTAGAGGCATTTTGTCAGTAGAGCGTGTGTGAAAGTGGCACAAGGAGCACAGTTCTCTCTGATTCACCAGAAATGCTTCCCTGAGGGTTTGGCATGAGAGAAACATTTGCATAGCTGTGAAACTATTAAGATGTGACTTCCCAATATTGATGATAAAATGTAAATAAACAAGGAACTGACTTTTTGCAAGCCAAGCTACTTGACATTTTTCTTTCCTTGCCTTCTCTGCTGCTCGAAAGGCAGGTTGTGTCAAGTTCCCTCGGCTAGACAGTGACAACCTCCTACAATTCAGCCATTTCCAGCTCTACTTATCTGCCAAGCTGTTGATTCCAATGGCACTGTTGTTTCTTATTCAGTTAGTTTATGATACAAGAATCAGAATGCTGTATTAATATCGCCTTATCTGATTGGCTTGGCTGGTGGATAGCAATCATTTTGCACTTATTTTTTGAATGCGTGTCGATCTTGCTCTTTTCTGTGAGTATTGAAACAGGGGAACAAAGAATCTATGAAAGGCAATACAAGTAACCCTCTGCATGAAGTGATTTTGCTCTTGCAGTGTGTTGAATTAGATGCCAAATGCATTAGTATTTGCTGCTAAAACAGTGATGTACCAAGCTGTTTTGGATGCTGGCTTTTTTCAAGATCTCAGTCTAAAAGGAAGCAAAAGGTGTCCTAAATGTAGATGGACGTTTTGCATAAAGTTATTTCACAGCTTCGATACACAGTGTCAAAGCAACCCAGTCTTTAAATACCCATATATATTTTTTACTTTTCTTATTGTAGAGTTACATGGCTCCCCTCTTGTATCTGCACCTACATATTCAGGAAGCCCTCAGAGGCCGGTGCAGCCCTGTCTGATAGTGCAAACTCAGCCCTCACCACAGCAGAACCCATCTACCCCAACTTTAGGTATGGCGCCAAAATTGCAGAAATATTCATTCAATACCATTTGTAGGTAAATTGCTATTTTGGAGCCTACATTATAGATTTCCCAAAATAGGTACGTTAGAAATGTTCAATCACTGCATCTCATTCTTCATTTTTTGTTTCATTGTTTTACCTCAACAATGAAATTTCCCTTCTCCTCTGTTTGCTTCAGGGCATAAATATTAATTTTGTACACATTACACACGTTTGTATTGTTTCATTTTCCTCATGGGTTGCGTACACCAGATGTTTTGTCATGGCTTGTGACACAGAATGAGCCTTCCTTGAACAAGCACATTAAGTTGTTAGCTGCTTTTGTTTTTGTGATGTTCATTTCGTCTGGTCTTGCGTCATCCAAGGAGTTTGTAGGAAAGTTTAAGTTCAAATTAAAAGCTTACATCCCTCAAATCTTAAAATCCATTTTTTATCTGTTTTCATTGTGTATTACTGTGTATGCATTTATAGAGTGTCGTTTTGTTTTCAGGACTCTTTAAGAATGAAAGTAATTGAAACTTCTTTGTTTGTGGTTTCAGTGGCCAGTCCTATGGTTCCTGGCGGCATGAGGAACATTCATGATAACAAGGTTTCTGGGCAGATGTCTAGCAACTCCGCTAACCACCATGCTGACAATTCCAGGCATGGATCAAATGAAGATTACCTGAACATGGTGCATAGGCTAGGAAGTGAGGTAAGACTCGTAAAACTATGTTCGGGTTGGAAGGAGCAATTCCGTTCTTCGACTGAATTTGATTTATCATCGTAATTTAGTCAGGTGTCTAATAAAATGTTCGTACTAGCGCCTAATTTTTCTGGCAGTAATTTTAAACTTGAGTTTTCTGTAATGTGCAACGAGCTGCTCTGTTTGTTTGCTCATGAGAAAAAACAATTCATGGTGCATTACCTCTGTAATGGAATAGTTGAAGGATAGATGATAGTGTGGAACCAGGCAGCAGGGGGGGAGTCATTGAGAATATTTCTCATTGTTATGAGGATTCAGTTTTTTTTAGTAAAATATGTACTACAAGGAATACTATTTCATAGTTAGGGGTGAATACTGTGCAGCTGTGGCAACTGATGCGTGTGTCACACCTAACTGGCAAGGTTGTAATGCCCTGTAGTTGTAATGTCGTTAACCACTTCATACCGCTTTGCAGGAAAGCGATCCCTCCATGAGAAACGCATCCTTCCCTCTCAGATCCCCCCAGTCTGTGTGCTCTCCAGCAGGCAGTGACGGGACCCCAAAAGGTACCTTGCTTCTGTTAACACCATTTGAGCAGGAAATGAATCTTTTGGCATTAAGAGTTGTTTGTATTTGTTCTGTTTCATGCATTCCATTATTAGTAGAGGTTTGAGCGGTGAGCTGCGCCAGCATGCAGGCAGCAAAGGAACAAGCAAAGTTTAATTCCACACTGAAAAGTAGAAAGAAAAAAACAGCATGTTTCAGCTGTTAAGCCTCTTCAGGAGAAAGGAAATACCTGAAGAAGGCTCTTTTCGAAACTTTTTTCCAGTTGTCATCTTGGAATTATCCTTTTCTTTTAACCTTGGTGATGTTTAAATCTTGGGTGGTGGTATACTTTGCACCCTCTGCATAATTTACTTGTGAACTAGATGGTAGAAGTCTTTGGTTCGATTCACTGTACGCTTCTTAATTAATGGTGAAGTACAACGTGTGGCCCAATTGTGTTTAAGAAAGTAGCCCTTTAATTGCATGTTAAGTTTCTGCTCTGTTTTTAACATTGGGGTATGCAGAAAAATCAGTTTCTTATACATTTGGGTTATTATAAAAACAGAAGACTGCCTATGTAGTGAGTGTTTTTTGTCTCATTTTAGCTGGATCCAGGCCGCCCCTCATATTACAGTCCCCACCCCCTTACACCTCTCCCAGAGACGCTCCACCAGACCTCTTAATGGACTCTCCAGACAGGAAGAAGAAGCAGAAGAAAATGAAAATGAGCAAAGAAGAAAAAGAACAGGCAGACAAGGCAGCGATGTACGACATCATCAGCTCTCCATCAAAGGACTCCACAAAACTCACCTTAAGACTTTCTCGTGTGAAATCTTCAGAAATGGACCCACAGGGAGATCTCCTTCCTGGAATGGACAACAGCCCCGATCCTGAGGGAGACATGGCTTATAACAACATGCAATATGCAGGCCAGCCGCCCAAGACGCCAGCGGCCCCCCAGGATGTACACCGAACCAACGCTACACAGTGCCTGACGCAGAACGAGCAGGCCGGCTTTCTCCCTGCGCAGCAGGTGCCGGTTTTACAAAACACGTCGGTGGCGTCGGCCAAACAGCCGCAGCCTCCCGGAGTGCCGATGCCAGGAGCTCCTGCCCAGCCCCTCTCCGCCACCACTCCCTACGACGAGGTGGAAATGGACGCTCTGGCGGAGATCGAGAGGATAGAGCGGGAGTCTGCCATCGAGCGAGAGCGCTGCTCGAAAGAGGTGCAGGATAAAGGTGGGTACTGGAACTGCTTTGCTAACTGACACCCTTTGATCAGGTTTCTTGGGTATTGCCAACTCACAGGTTCAAAGTTTTGGAACAGCTGTCAGTTGTCTCATTTAACTTTGAGAGCACTGTTTCAGTGTTAAAAGTGCTAGTATTACAAATCCCTGGCCCTTTTTTTTTTACCTCTTTGGACTTTATGTAGAAAAGCAGCTTTTAATCAAGATCAATTGCTGAAAGACTTTTTCAGCCAAACCCACTATGGAAGCTACATTTGTCAGTGACAAAGGATAATAAGAACATAACAGTGCAAAAATACACTCGCCTCTACAGAAGTAAAAATCTAGAGTGGTTAAGATACCAGCCTCAGGGTTATTTCTTTGTATAGCTGGGTTTTACCTCATCAAGCTATTGCAAAGTATTATAAAGTGTTAAATAATTTAAAGGAGAAACCATAAGTTTAGCCTGAGACGTGCTGTTCCATGGTGACCTGGTACAGCACAGCGCCTTCTGAAGGAAGGGTGCCAGCCTAGTAACTCAATAAAGACCATTAACCAACTGGATAATCTGTGAACGCTGTCTCCATGTCATAAAAGCATGAAACACTTTTATTGGTTTAATGGAAATGTTCCAGGTACAGGAGTTCCCGGTGTTACGCAGGTCTTAGGAAAATCACTGTTCTATAAAAATCATCATAAAGTATTTAAACATTATATTTTGCTATTTTTATAGATATGCGTGCATAAATGAACTATTTATGGCTGCATTGTGCTTCCTTAACCTATTTTGTGTAATACATAAGTATTTCTTTTTTTCAGGTTATGTTTACTCCATGAATGATATTTTTCATTAAATTGAAGAATACAGTGCATTCATTTTATTATGAAATGGTGTTCATGTGAACCAAGCAGTGCATAGAATAGGTATCTACTACCAGAAAATTAAGAACTAGTTGAAGTGCACAAGGCTGAGGAATGAAATTCAGTGGTTTCCAGATCTGAGCTCTTACCCAAGATGTAAAGTGTCTGTGTGTGTGCAATGATTTCAGTTTTATTTTTCCGTCAGCAGGGATCTTCTCTTTATTCACAACTCGAATTTCCAATCCAATTTCTTAGTCGGCCGAGTTAACTAGCAGCCACCTGACCTGTGCATGGGCATGAGAAAAGCAGAGTACATACAAGCATCCTCTGAAAAGCACACTTTCAGTCTACTCTTACACTGCAGACTTTTAGCCCAAAGCACAGCTCTTGGCTTTAGACACTCGTAGCTGCTAAAGCTTGCAGGTGTGTCCAGTGAGTTAGAGGGGTTGGTGTGCTTGGACACCCGATTACCACCCTTAGGTATCTTTATGTCAGCTATCTAGCCCATATTCAAACTCATGGTCCCTAGACTTTGAAACTTGAACCTGCTGTATGTGAATATTTAAAAATCTGCTTGCTAGAGTAAGTTGTGTAGTAGCTTGGTTTTGGTTTCTAATTCCTGCAGAAGAAGGGTGTTCAGTGTTGCACAGACATGACTGGTATCAGATCCTACAGCTGAGAGCTGACTAGGGTTGCTAAGTCTCCTCTTATCAAGGACATCCTGTACTTTCCTAAAGACTGGCCCTTTCTTATGGAATCATTCTAGGATGACTTTTGTCGCATGATTGGAATGCCATAATGTTTACCTTATATTGTACGATTTACACACTGGAAAACGTCTGTGCAGCTCTGCCATACTGCTGAACTGTTGTCATAGTGTTATGATTCAACCACTGCAGTTTCACTGGTGACTGCCTGAGCCGCTCCATGGTCTGCTCTAACACTCTGAAATCCACAGGATAACTTTAGGTTTGGTTACTAAATGAGGTTCCAGATATGTATAACATTTTAGCTGAGCTTTAAAACTATCCTTTTTACCTAACAACAGGATAAGGAGGTGCTGACTGCTATAAAACTCTGCAAGAAATCTTCCTGGTGCACCTAGTGGATACTTAATGAAGAGAATTGTTTTTTTCCTTTAGAACAGTAGTGTTGCATGTTTCTGCACTCTTCATTGGTAAACATGCGTTAGGAGTATTTATGGTTACTTTTTTAGTTGTCTACAGACGTATGCGGTGTAAGTTTGTTCATTGAGTGTGATGATATTTTCCTAACTTGCATGGCTAATGTGATGTGAAATCCTTTATTTGGAATCATGTTCTTTGACAAGCAAACTGTCATGTTTCTGAATGGAATCTGAATGCAACATTGAGTTTAACATGGGTTCTTCCTTTAACAGCACTTCTGATTGCTTCTTGAGGTGCTTTCAGAACCCTGTGATGTAATGTGATTTTAGTGGTCTGGTTAGCATGGGCAATTAAATTTGTCTTCAAGCATATAGGTACATACTTTTTCATATGTTTTGCTTCCTTATTTGTTTATAATTGTTTCCAACAAAAAGATGTGCACGCTAAAAAAATTAAAGTTCAATTAAACACCATTTACTTAAAGGGTATGTGCATTTTATTATCAAATGCCATTACAAAGGATATACAAGTTAGCAGAATGACACTTTTGATAACCTGAGCACCTCTCCTTGATTTGTTCATCTTATCCATTGATTTGTCGAGGGTGGAATAGCTTCTTGACCATGTGTTTTCTGAGGGTTTGTACTGGCAGTTTAATACTTTTATACTGTTGTGGGATTTGTTTTGAAATTCTGATATGCAGACTGATGGAGCCTTTGATCTTTGAAACAGCCATTGAAAGCTTGAATGTTGAAATAGACAACCAACATCCTTTCTTCACATAAAGCCAGTCTTCCCCTTGGAATGGTTTTGCTCCAATGTGTGGTTGTTTCTCTGTATGCTGCCTTCTTTTTAATGTCATTCCAGCCCACCACCAGTGTTACTGCTTGTCCCAGCCTTGGTGGAGTACTGAAAGAACTGTTGCTTATTATGTCAATTATCCCACGTTTGCAAATGTACATTTTGAGTTTCATCTACCCACAGGCTTAAAAATGACAGAACTAGTCACTTGTAAAAAAGGTATAAGTAAACTTTTATATATATATGTAAATTATTATTTGAATTTGTTGTGTGCATAACATATTAATTTTTAAGTATGATGTCCACTTCTAGGCGGTGTCTTTAAAACGTACATATATGAGATTTGTATGTTGCCATAACATGTATTCGGTTGCAGACTGGTATCCTTAAATACCATCCACACAATAGGTAAAAAGACGTTTCTTGCTTTAATCCTCTTTCCTGTAAACACTTCTATGGTCTCTTTACAAGGTCTTCTGGTATTTTTCTGCAGTTTTGGTTCCTCCCATGGCTTTTCTTTCTGAAGAAGATTGAGTGGGGAGCTGTACCAGTCAGCTTCAAAAGGAGTAGATGTTAATTCCATGCTAAAAAGAAAAATGGCATTTCAGCTATGAGCCTTCTTCTGATGGCATTCAGCTTGCAATTAAACTCTTCAAGTCCATTTTTCCTGTGCGTTCATATGTTAAAACAACTGTGAGCTCCCTTGTGTTTTTCTGTGCAGAGCAGGCTCTAGTACTTAAACTGAGATGGTTTTGATTATGCTTTTACTCTGAATTTGACTCATTTCACAGATCCTGAGAAGTATCCGTCAAGGCAGATGACAGCAGCATTGAGACCAACTGGTTATCTGCAGATATGGCTACTGTCACTACTTCATTCAAGTCTTTCTGGTCATTGCCTTTCGTGGCTAACATCCCACATGAATAGTTTTTCAACTTCAAATCACATACCAAGTTAATCAACTCTTTGTCAGTAGCTACCCTTGAAATGAGGCACTGTGCACCATCTTATCTTCACCTGTTGCGTTTAGTGTTTTGGTTATTATTGGGTTTTTACCTGGTTCTTCTGTTGTGGTGCCTGGATACATCGGGTGCAGCGGGGTGGCTCACTTGAGGTGAATGGAACTACACAACTGCAGCTTCTGACGGAAGGCGTTTTATTTTTTTTTTTGGTTCTGGTTCTCGTTGCAGACAAGCCGCTGAAGAAGCGGAAGCAGGACTCGTACCCGCAGGAGCCTGGGGCCGGTGGAACGGCCGGTTCTACAGGCGGGGCTGGTGGAGGTGGTGGAGGAGGAAACGCCGGGAATAAGGCCACTCCTCAGGAGGCCAGTGCTGCTGGAAACGGAGCTAGCCGTCCGGCCCTGATGGTGAGCATCGACCTGCAGCAGGCCGGGCGGGCAGAGGGCCAGCTTGACCCCTCTCTTCCTGCTCCCACTGGCGCTACAGAGGCGCAGAAATGGACTGAGGAGCAGCGCGGCGTGCCCGCTGCTGCCTCTGGCCCGGCCGGAGATGGCTCTGTCAGTGGCTGTCAGGAGGAGATGACAGGTGTCCTCAGGCTCAAACCAGACAACCAGCCAGAGAACCCTAGGAGGAAGTCAGAAGATGTTCAGAAGGCTGCTGATGGGAGACCTGAGGTCATTAAACATAGGTCTGAGACTCCCAAACAGAAAGGGAGCTCAGACAGTAAGCCTGAGACCCCCAAACAGAAAAATGAGAGCCACCCAGAAACACCCAGACAAAAGAGTGTAGATGGCAGGCCAGAGACCCCCAAACACAAGCACGATAACCGTCGGGACTCCAGTGGGAAGCCCGTCAGCTCGGAGAAAAGGATGGAGATGTCGAAACACAGGCATGATGGCAAACCGGATTCTGCCAAGTTGAAATCTGAAGGCAGAGGGCCAGAGACACCCAGGCAAAGGCCAGATGGGCGCCCATCATCCTCTTCCTCTGAGTCTTCACGCCGCGACCACGATGGTCACAGACAGCGATCAGAGGATCGACCTGAATCTGAGCGACACAGGGGAGATCCTTCTAGGATCAGGAGGCCTGACACCCCTAAGTCCTCGAGCAGAGGGGATCACGACTCCAGACATGGCAAGTCTGACAGCTCCCGAGACAGGGAGAGAGACCGAGAGAGGAAGCAGAGAAATGAGTCGGGGGATTCTAGGGAGAGACGCTCCCCTGAAGAGCAGAGATCCCGCCCCGAGAGCCCAAGGGTCAAACAGGAACCGAGGACAGACTCCAGCAGCCGACTCCGCACAGACAGACCTGGCTTCAAATCCCCCAGCAACCGGGATGAGCGGCGTTCAGATGGCAGCAAAGGAAGGTCAGACTCGCATAAGCAGCCGCCTGATACCAAGCCTGAGTTCCCCACATACCTACTGGGAGGCAAGTCGGGAGCACTGAAAAACTTTGTAATTCCTAAAATCAAACGGGACAAAGATGGTAATGTCACTCAGGAAACAAGGAAGTCTGATTCCAGGGATGAAAAGGTAAAGATGGAGAAGATGGGCCTTGTAGAGGATTTGAACAAAGGAGCGAAACCAGTGGTGGTGCTTCAGAAGTTAACTTTTGATGAAGTTCAAAAATTTATAAAGGAGAGAGAAGACAGGAATGCAAGGAGCTCTAAATCTGGGAAGAACCGACCATCCTCCAAATCTGGTAAAGGTAAGGCTTTTATCACTTAGATGGTGCCTCTTTAAATTAAAAAAGGCTTAGTATAGTGCCTAAACATGCTTATGGGCTCTGTTTTACCAGCAGTTTTGAGCCAATGGCAGGAAGAGGGAATCTGTATTGTTTGTGGATGGTTATCAGGTTGTAGTGTGAGTAGATTTATTGTATTGGTTTCATACAGTATTGTAGCTTGAAATTCTTGGAAAATATATAACCTTCCTCAGAGTCAAAATCTTATCATAGGCAACAGTCTATAAAGTAGAAAAGAGGAAAAGTTACCAAAAGCATTTGCTTTTCTTGGTCCATCTGCTCATGTAAAAAATGATGGTTAAAATCTCTAACTTGATATGTTCTGGTCACTCCCATCTGCTTTAAATTTAGTTCCATCCATCTACCCTTCCTAATAAGTTGGATGTTGCGTTCTGGGTTTCATGGCAACTACTGCACAGCCTCTGCACTATCTTTTTTGTTTGTATAGTGTCATTCCATCTGTTTCTTTAACGACTGAACTTGTATTAAATACTAAGGCCCTATTTATACAGTGCTTTTTCTCTGCCACCATTATTAAAATGTTCCCAACCTGTTGGGTCTCATGTTGTGTTGGATTTGGGTCAGGAGGAAATGGTGTCCTGACAATTTTGTTTTCCTGCAGCCCTCTTGTAATCCTGGCATTCTGTGGTCCCAAACTGTTCTGCTGGCAAAGAGGCGTTTCTAGATTGGCTTATAGGAATGCAAAAGCTGTTGGCTCTAGAACGTTTGTGAATGTTACAGAGCATGAAGGTTTTTATCAATCTGCCTCAAAATCCTTGTCGTCTTAAGAGGCTCTAACCCACATCATCTCACTTCCACCTCCCTGGTAGGTGGCTTGAACCATATTGATCACCATGTCAACACCATGCCTTCCATCAGGTCTGTGTCATGCAAAACGGCCTCCATCTGTGAATACAGCTCTCTGTCACTCTCTGTGCTGCCACCTCAAGAGTTCTTTGGCTCACAAAAGACAGATTTCACCTCTCATCTGACAGCATTACCCCTGAATGTCTTCTTGTATTCTGAGCATTACCCCTGAATGTCTTCTTGTATTCTGAGCATTACCCCTGAATGTCTTGTATTCTGAGCATGCAGATCACTTTCATGCTAACAGGTAGCTGTCATCATACTGCAGATGTTGGTTATTTCTTTCTAGACTTGACCATACGATAACCACTGCAGTCCAATTATGCAGACAGATCAGTCGGATGTCCTTGTCAGAGATGGTGTGGTGACTCTCTGCCTGCCTGGATGTAGTCTGTGCACCACAGAGCCAGTTTCCTGGTTTCTCTGGAGGAGTCAGTTAAATGCTGAAACTCTCGGGGCAGCTCCTCTGATTGACGGGCTGCTTTCGAGTCATGTTCATTGCTTTAAGGCCATCTTCATTACTCTAGCGAATTAGTTGCATCTTTTGCTGTTAATGTGTTGATTAAAATATTTATTAGTATTTTTGTATACAATATCTACTAAAAACGGAGCACCAGGTATTTTTGTATCACATGATTTGAGCTCAGCATTTTATTATAAGGAACAGTAGTACTCAGAACTATTCACAAACCTTAGTACAATGTAAATTACCTTGTGCCCAGTGATCTGTTCTGGTTGGAAAATTAATTTTGCATTTGCATTGTAGGTTGGTATTAAAATGTGGTATGAATAGGTGATTGTACTGATGAAGTTTTGCTTAAGGTTTCTTTTTAAAGTAATTGCCTGGAAAAACCTCTATTGACTGACGAAGATGTAGGGACTGTTGCTGGCCCTTTAGTTGGAAGGCAAGCGTTTGGGATATGGAGTAATGCAGAATATAGGGCTAATTCTCTGAAACCATTGTTGCAGGGGGTGATCATTGTATCTGACCCTTTAGGTATCATTAACATTTTTCTTGTGGTCAAGGATGACACCCAGGTTGGATCTAAATGACTTTAACATTATTGTTGTTAATTGTCTTTGCCTTCTTTGTTCTGTGCGATACTTATGTTTCTGTTAAACTGCTTAAAGCGTTAATAAATCTGAGTACCTGATTGAAGTTCAGTGAAGGAGCATATCATTTTTCAATTAAATTAAAGACTTCTAACCAAACACAAACTAAGTATCTTGATGTACACTTGATAGAGGTTAATTTTCTGCTCCATAATCGCAGGATATATAGTATTCTCCAGATGGATCCAGACTGATCTGTGGATGCAGCATTCTGATCTGGAAATGTCTTTATTAGTAGTCAATAAGATCAGTGTGATTTAAAGCCATTAACAATTAATTGACACTACTATAATTTTATTATGTTGAAATGAGGGTTGAATGAGGACCTGGCATTCACTTCAAACTTGTATCTAATTGTCAGGAATGAAATTGAAATTGCCAAATGCGGTTTAGTTAAGAAAAAAAAAGATTTTTTTCCTTGACTCATTTCCCTGTATGTTTTTACCAAAATGTCACCTCACGTTTTCAGTTTTGCATTCACATTCACCCATGGTCAGCTGCTACAATGACTGGAACACCTTGTACGCTGCCATGAGCATGTTTCTTAACAATATCCGAATTAGTATTCTTCAAAGCTCTTGCGTTATTTGCTGGAAGTTCGCATTCCACCTTCATACTGACTGGTTGTCGCTTTCAGTTCATTGCAGTCTGGATCTAGTGAATATTGCTGTAGTATTTAAGCTTTTGAGGGTGCCCTATACTTCAGCTGCTGTTCTCCTCAAGAGGAAATACACCCTGAATCTCTACATTGGGATGAATGTTGTCTGTTAATTAAAAGGTCAGTTAACTATTAGGTCAGCTACCACTGTAGCTTTTCCCAAAGACCAGTGTCACATCTGCGTCACAACTGGTAGTGTCTGAAAACTGTTAATCACAGTGGTGGGTGGCGTTTCTGTCAATGTGTCTGAGAACCATGCCAAAGCTAATTTGCCCTGGAGTGACTGGATCTACCAGCCAGTGCAAGGGAGTTCCTGTATACATCATAGGTGTTTGAATTGAACTTAATTTAATACAATTTCAGTTTTTCACCATTTAATTTTGCAGTTGAATCGAGAGGGAAGTTTAGATTGGCCAGAACAAGACCTGTGTAGATAACCTGGAGCAAAATCTAGCCAAGACAACGGAGTCACCACTCCAAGTCTTGTGAATGAATCCCTAACGACAGTAGCCAAGGCTACTTGTCATTCTGGTGACGGGAGCCCCCTGCAGCACATTGCCCAGAGTTTCCCTGCTGGGGCATTGGTAGAAGCTGGTCCAGAGGGGAGAGCATCACCTAGTTTTCCTCAGAAATAATTCTTCCATCTCAATAATTGCGAATGTAATCATTTTTAGAGTTGAATCTGATATACTGTTAATAAGTTAATTGTGGTCTATAATGTTACACGCATTTTATACGAAGCAGTTTTTATTTTCTCACCGGTTATTGGATTAATTTGGTCATTGTGATACTTCTAGGTCGTCACCTGTGGCCCTATTACAGATCCCTCTAAAGCCTGTTAGAATGATCCCTAGAAATCCAATTTGTACACCAGTGATGCGGATTGATTTTAAAAATATAATTCTTTCAGACGCACATCCTAAACTTATACCCCACTTGTACACTCACGGCAGTGTGTTAGTTAACATAACCGATACAATTAGAGGGGAAAAAAGAACAAGCAGTGTGTTATTGATTTGTTTGCCCATTAGCAGAGCTATTGCCAGTCTTCTTACTTGTTTGGAGTATTTTCTTTCTCCAGGTGTGGGTAGATCAGATTAGAAATCATAACTGAGTATGGTATAATAAGGCAGCATATTATTTTAACTGGTTGTCATATAGAGTTAAAAACTTTTCCACAAAGTCAGTCCTTTGCACATACAACATACCTGAACTTTAAAAAATGTTATTTTTCAGTGACTGTGGATTGTTTTCAAACTTCGCATTTTTTGGAAATACGCTGCAGTTCCAGTAACCAGTTTTCAGAGGCTAATTGCACATTTAGAAAGGTGTCGGAGTAAAATTAAGGATATAAATATTTTTGTAGCTGGCAGTACACATTCAGCTGCGGTAATAAACCTTCAGGGGATCGAGCTGCTCACAAAGAGGTGCATCGTCAAAACAAGCAGAGCCTCCCCCATGGCTCTCCTAGTAATAGGCCCTGCAGCCCAAAGCTGGCTCCCCCATTCCTTTACAGTTTTCAGGGAAAGATGCAGGGGAGATTCTACAGAACTTAGAGCATGCTTTATGTGTGTGAAGGGCAAGACTGGATGTAAAGGATTTAGCAAATGGGCTTCTGAAGTGGTCCCTTATTCCAAATGAATGCCCAGTAAGGACATTCACATTATTATGGTGTGAAATAAAAACATCAACCCAATTTCAATGATTAACCTCAATAAAATTGGCAAAGATGGCTAGACATTCCAGATTCCTTCATTACATAGTTTAGTTGCTCTGCAGCAAGAGATACAATACCTGCTTGTCAGCATAGACCTGCTGAATTGTGCTTTGGGTTTGTGCTTACCTGTTTTTTTGCTATCCAGATATCACTTTTTTTTTAAATATGAACAGGGTTTTTCAGAACAGTTACAAATAAGAGAAGGCTACTAGCACATTTCATAGTTAGTAACTAATTAATCCAAAGATCTTGTCCAGCCATTTCTTGAAAGAAGCCAGGTATCAACTTCAACAAAGCTGGGCTGATATCCTGGCCTCTGGATCTCCTAGGCTCATAACATTGCTGACAACTGTCGTGACTTTAACATCTCGGAAAGCAGTGTGAAGACTTGAGCTCGACCTGTCCCCATCCTGTTCCCCTCCAGGTGGAATAGACCAGTCAGTGCTAAAGGAGCTGCCCCCAGAGCTGCTGGCGGAGATTGAGTCCACCATGCCACTGTGCGAGCGGGTGAAGATGAACAAGAGAAAACGTACCACAGTCAACGAGAAACCAAAATATGCCGAAGTCAGCTCAGACGAAGAAAGCGACGGGACTGTTGAGTGTGAGTAAAATAACTTGACATTAGCCTTCGCAGCGACAACTCTCTTAAGACTGGACTGCCGCAAAGAGATGTATCTGGCTGAAGCCCTCTGCTTGAGGGCACCATGGGTAGAACCTCGTTTGGTCAGGTCTCTTCAGGTGTGGGTGGGCATAGCCATGGCATAGGAAGCTCCGTAACTCACCCGGCGGTTGTAGAAACAAGTGCTTCTTTTTTAACTGGGTTAAGGCTCAGGTTCGTAGAGGTAGAAATCTTTTATTCTCTCCCCCCCCCCCACCAGCTGCCCGAAAGCGGCACAAGAAGGACCGGGACAAACCGTGGGAGTGCGAGGAGCGGGAGCGGAGGGGCTCAGGGGAGCACCGGAGGAGCGGGCACTTCCACGAGGGCAGGAGGAGCTCGGGCAGCCGCTACCGCGAGCGCAGCCCCGACGACTCCGAGGAGGACTCCCCACCACCCAGCCTGAGCGACAGTGAGTTCACCGCCGGCCAGCTCCTGCGCTCTGCCCTGGGTGGAACTCCGTGTCATCTCCTCATCCGGCACAGCTGACGTTTACGGAGTTCACCCCTGTTAATAAGCAATGGCGAGTCAGCTGGCAGAGAAAGCTGACAGTTTGTGTTTCCACAAATTGTTGCTGTGACACTGTGAATTCTGTGTAAGTTGCACAGTTACATTTTTGGCTTACAATGAAAATTAAGCTTTTAGCAGTCCAGTAAGTGTTGTGGTAAAAATAACTGGCTTCAACTGTTTTAGTTCTGAAGTTTTTGTTTGGCCTTTTTGGCTGTGTTGCATAGGATTCTAGTTGATTAAACGATGTCTGTATCCTGTTATAGCCAGGGGTGCAGAATGTCTGACATCTTTGGGGGTTGAAACCCTTATTCTTTGGCGAGTTCTGTAGGACGAGGGAGTCTTGGATTTGCAAAACAAGCCTTCAGCTTGAATGGTAATTCACTGTGGAAAGGGAGTTTGTCTTTGCATAGAAGCAGGATAGGGTCAACGCTTTAACCTGTATCATAAATATTCTGAGGTGGAAGAATTGAGATGTGTTGATTAATGAAAACTATAGGGGATTAATGCTCACTGGTGAGCAAGGATGCTATAGTGGGGTACTGTACTCTGAGAAACTCTGGTTCATTGACCATGAATATCTAACATTGTTTTTGGGGTCAATGGCAGGGAAACAAAGCTGTTCCCATGAAACTTTGTTCATGGTTTCCTTCTCGAACTCTATTGGAAGACATCTTCACAATCTGACCACTTTTTTTCTTTATATGCAGTTGCCAGAAAAATGAAGAAAAAAGAAAAGCAGAAAAAGAGGAAAGCATACGAACCTAAACTTACACCTGAAGGTATTTTAATACAGCTCTTACATTTTATCATTGATGCTTCTGTGTGAGCATATAGAAATCACGTTGAATTAACTGTTTTCCTTTTCATTTAAGAAATGATGGATTCGTCAACTTTTAAGAGGTTCTCAGCCAGCATTGACAACATTTTGGAGAATTTGGAAGACATGGATTTCACTGCATTGGGTACTTAATTTGTTGTTCGTTCTTAAATATTTCAGAACAAGGTTTCATGTTATTAAATTGTAGTTTACGTACTAGTCCAATTTAAAAGCATTTTACATCTGTTCAGTATGCATCTATCACTGTCATAAAACTTCAAGCTGAGTTTCATAGTTTTCACACCATGTGGCTCTTGATTTCTGTGACGATCTTCAGTGTATTAGTAAGTTAGTCAGGGGAGTGGCACCTCCACATACTTGTTTATTAGTTTTGTTTTGTTTAGATCCATCTGTTGTAATCAAGCTCCATAGAATGGTCACCAGGCCTGAACATATCCTGGACTCAAAGAGCACAAAGCAGTACCAAGAGCAAACAACAGCATAGAAATCCACAGGTCTGTGGAGAAAGGGGAGAATTTGGGATAACTTAGATAACATCTAGTTGGGAGATGGGAGGAATCTAGAGCACCAAGGCACAGTTTGCCAGGGACTGGAGTTAATGCAGAACCCAGGAGCAGTAGTACCAGCCACATCATTCCGCCCACTGGAGCCAAAATGCAGCTGGGGACATTATGAATTGCTGCCCCAGCTCAGTCAAAGGATCAGGTCCTCGAGATAAAAAACAAAAACGTAACCCTACGTAGGACAAAAATCTTGAAAGAAATAGGTCACGCCTACAATCCTTGTGTCTCTTTCAGATTGATATCAGGCACAGCAGCAACTCATAAGTCAAATTTAACTTAGACTTTTCTTTTCAGGCTCAGTGACAATACACTTGCGCAAAACCATCTTGAATTGGAAATTGTACACATGCTGATTTTAGTGAACGTGCTGCTCAGCAGGCTCCTGTCATTATTCATGTTGATGCGATGTCTGGCTGTGCCCTCAATATTTACAGTGTCTTTTTGTCTTGCTAGGCGATTTTCATTTTGTAAATACATAATGTCTGTTTTTGTTAGTGTTGATTAGCTTGGAAGTTGAAACGTACATTTATGTTAACTTTTTTCTTTTAGCGGATGATGATGAAATTCCACAAGAGTTACTGTTGGGAAAGCATCAGCTTAGTGAACTAGGAAGTGAATCTGCTAAAATTAAAGCCATGGGAATTACAAGCAGGGTATGTAAGGTTTTATTCTGATAGTAAAGGTTTTATGCATTGTTGTGATGAAAATTGTCATAAAACTGTTAAAAGATGTGCTCTAATTGAGAACCTCATGTCTTTTATTTGCTTTTTAGTGTTATTCTTTTATTTCATATTTGGAATGTTTAAAAGATGAAGACATTCATTATTAATCACAGCTTATTGTCCTATATGATGATTTTTTTTTAAAGGAAATTAATGTACAATTGATTATGGGGTAAAATTTTGTTTTGCAGATTCCAGCAGATAAACTGGTGAAGGTTTTGAATATTTTAGAAAAGAATATACAGGATGGTTCAAAACTTTCGACACTCATTAACCATGTAAGTTTTCATTTTTGTGTTACTAGTTACATTAGCATTGTGAGTTTCAGGATTGTGCTTCCCAGGTTTATTTCTGTCTCATAAAAACTCATTGCATCTGCGTTAGAAGAGAGGCTCTTGTAAGTGTAGAAAGCCAACCTCCTACGCAGTAGGAATTAATCTTGTGACCTCATCATACTGGAGACCTCCTCATTTGTAACCTTTCTAATGTTCTTGTGTCTGTTCTTAGGATAATGACACTGAGGATGAGGAGAGACTTTGGCGGGATCTCATCATGGAGAGAGTGACAAAATCTGCTGATGCTTGTCTCACTGCCCTCAACATTATGACTTCCACCCATATGCCCAAAGCGGTGTATATTGAAGACGTGATAGAGAGGGTCCTACAGTACACTAAATTTCACTTGCAGAACACACTATACCCTCAGTATGATCCTGTCTACAGGGTGGATCCACATGGAGGGAAGTATTGTTTTTTACCTTAACATTGGAGTGGGTTTTAAAAAATGCAGCAGTTCATAATGCACATTTTAATGTCCCTTTAATGTAGGCTTGTGCCACCTTTTCTTTTTTAAGGTCAGGATTTTGCTGATGTAGATGTGTTATATAGATTAAACAAATTAAAGCCATGCTTACAAGAAGATAATTTATTAGACCCTAACAACAGTTATTTTACTTACTTGTAAAGCATTGTAATGTGATCAATAGCTGATAAGACATGGTGACAAGTTTACAATGCCTAGAACTCTCACAAAGCCTTTTGGTTAGGTAGGGCTGCTGTTGTTCCCTAGTGTTTCTTGAGTATTTTCATTAAAGTACCAGGGTTGAAAGCCCACTCCAGAAGATCACAGTGGCAAGACTATCCTTTCCTGATTCCTTCCTGCTAATCTGCTTCCCCAGTGAAAGTCTATTGTGGATACTATCCAAGATAATTAATTAAGCTAACTGCTAACCAGATGCATGTATGGTTCATTACCATAATTAAAATTAATTTTCTTTCTTCTTTGTACAACAGGTGGCGTTTTGAGTTCCAAGGCTAAGCGTGCAAAATGCTCCACCCACAAGCAGCGAGTGATCGTGATGCTATATAACAAAATCTGTGATATTGTCAGCAACATGTCTGAGCTGCTAGAGATACAGCTGCTCACAGACACTACCATTCTGCAGGTATGTGCCAAGTCGGCAGCCCCCTTGTCATCTGAGCATCCCAGAGATTGTCTTCAACAGACCAGAATGATTCATATTCTAGTGATTAGACCAAGTAATTAAATACTGAAGCGATACATTTTGTAGACCACGCTGTAGTTTTGTTTACGTTCATGTTTCACAAGTATTGCATGTTTCTAGAAAAGACAGGTATGTATGATATCGAAGATTAAATACACTGTACCAAGTTTATGAAGATCATTCTGCTCCTTTCCAAGTTTTACTATATATTTATTACTATCTGTAACATGGTGCTGTTCTTGCTTTATTTTCTTCCTTTTGTAGGTTTCGTCAATGGGCATTACACCCTTTTTTGTGGAAAATGTCAGCGAGCTGCAGCTGTGTGCCATCAAGTTAGTGACTGCTGTAAGTACTGTGACACTTCAAAAACTATTAAATTTAGGTGCTTATGCATGGAAAAAGTGAAAGTAAATATTGCTAATATTTTATTTTTAATTCCCTTAAATTCTTTTTTATCAGGTGTTTTCAAGATATGAAAAGCACAGACAGCTGATACTGGAGGAGATCTTTACATCCCTAGCCAGACTGCCAACGAGTAAGCGAAGCTTGAGGAACTTCAGGTATTACAGTCGGAACTGATAAATATTTTCGACATATATGATTTTGCAGCTATGAAACACTGTTTGTCGCTTTTTATTCTATAATTGTGATATGAAGAAATTTGGTAGCCATTAGGTCAGGCTGATCACTGGTCAAAATCTTAGACAAAGTTTCCTTGGCTTCTGTTGAAGGTATCAGAACTGTTGCCTTAGCTTTTACAAATGGAACTATTTGACGACAAGGTGTGAAACTGTTGCATTTTGCCTAATACGTGTTTTCAATGGGAAACAAATGAAGTATTCAATAGGAGCTATCAGGTCTTTTAGAGGTGTTAATTGCAAAATTAGAGCAATTCTTTATGCTGAATAAATTAGCATAATAAAAGAGCCAATATAGCATAAAAAAGCCACCGTGACAGTCAAGAGTAAAAAGAGAAACAAAGTAAACTAAATACCATCACTGCAGAAACTGAGACCTTCTCTGAGGCCTTTGGGATTGTCTGGACTTTATTTTTGGAATCTTCTGCCATTTTATTTTTGTGAACGGCCCTGACTCTCAGTGGACATTCTGAAGTTGCTTTACTTCATTATTCCTACTATTTCCTTCATAACTGCAGATTGTAATTGCAGCAGTTGTCCGTTCACACAGTGCACCTGAAGCTCTACAAACTTTTGGCCTGAAAATTACTCCTTAAAAGATTACAGTTTTTGAGTTGTAACCCAAGGAGCAGTCCTGCCATCTCTGGATAGTACATTATTTTACCAGTGAATATGTAACTATTTAGCCAGATGCATTAGAAGTCTGGCCAAACCCTGCTCTGTGGTTTTAGGATTTCATGCACTTCAAGTAGGTGGATTACCACGTTAGGGACCAATATTTCTCACCTATAGGTGCTTCATCGTTTTAAGACATATTATTTTCATGCAACTTGAACTGTTACCAATTTCAGTATTTCTTGTGGCACCTAGTGAAATAAGTGCCTTGCAATTTAAGACACAATGTTTTGGAATACTTTCAGGAATGCATAAAAAAAACTGAACTGAAATACATGCCTTTTATTTTTTAAAGTGATATATGTGTATAATAACAAGCACACGAGAACAGTTACTAAGGAGAAGGGGCCATTCAGCCCATGTAGTAGTTTATAGAGCTAGTAGTAGAGAATCTCATCCAGCTCTATATTGGAAGAAGTTCTTCACTCTCAGAACTCCTATGTTAGGAGAAGAAACATACTCTACTTGGTCAAACGTTGCAGGATAGAGACTTCACTTCAGAAGGCCTTTAACATTTCTTTCCTGTTGCAGCATGCTAATTGTGTTAATGTGTTTGATCAGGCTGAACAGCAGTGACATGGATGGAGAGCCCATGTACATACAGATGGTGACTGCTCTGGTCCTGCAGCTCATTCAGTGTGTTGTGCATTTGCCATCGGAGAAGGATTCTAACACTGAAGATGAATATGACAAAAAGGTAAACCTTAACATGCGGTAGGGAAAAAGTTCTCTTAATTCAATGTCATGTTTTGTAGAGTGCTCTTCACAACATGTTACACAGAGCACTTTGAGTTATTCACACAGATACAGGGATATGCAACACAATAAGTCAAAAAGAAATTGGTATGAATGGGTGTAAAGTAGTTTAGTGTGTCATAGAGTTATACTGTTTGGATAAATCTCATGCTTCCATTGAGAAGTTTACTCCGAGTCATAGGATTCCATAACGGTTTTGGTGTTCATTTAATAAGTAACATGGTTTTATTCACAAACTGTTGATGCGCTGTTCATTTTCATTTGCTATGTCACAGGTGGATCAAGATGTTCTGATAACAAATTCTTATGAAACCGCAATGAGAACAGCTCAGAACTTCCTCTCTGTTTTTCTCAAAAAGTAAGCTTTGGTATTCTTTATTTGAGAGGTATCATTTGAGAAATGTAGATACTTTGCGTGACTTGAAACTGTTGACTGTTTTGTAATACATTAATGATATCCAATGCATGCTTTTATGTTTTATATTGTATACTTGGCATTTTCCTCCAGCCTCCTTCACACCATCTTAAGCTAATAATGAAGATATTAATCGAATGCTAGCTGTTGAAGAATTCATAATAACTATTACTAAAACAGAAGCATTTTTTAAAAGCCATATTCAGATTTAGAGTGCACTGTAGTTTTGGATACCTGTCGGTTGTATAGAGACATGAGTCAGTGGAACAAATCAGTATATAAGCTGAACGAAGTGTGGCAATACTCTGTTTTTAATTCACAGGTGTGGCAGTAAGCAGGGTGAGGAGGATTACCGGCCACTGTTTGAGAATTTTGTGCAAGATCTCCTGTCCACTGTTAACAAGCCAGAATGGCCTGCTGCTGAGCTCCTGCTCAGTCTCCTGGGCAGGTTGCTGGTAAGTCAGGCGGAGGAGTCTACAGGAGCTTACACACGCAGCTTCCTTTCATTTCCAGCACTAATGCTTTAGTTTTCTTGCACTGAAGTGGAGTTGGTTTGTAAAGCAGGGGTTTTTCTATTGTACGGTTTTGCAATATTTTTTATCAGTCCGGTGTCCTTTGAACAGGGTCACTGAATTCTTGAACATCAATGACAGTGCTTCCTATTATTTCTTGAAAGTATCAGAATGGCAATGCATCTGTGATATAGGAGGAGATAGGGGGATGAAATAATCCAAATTAATCCAAAATGTCTTTCTGAAGTTTGTAAAAAAGTTGTAAATCTGCTTTTGGGGAAAAATATGCATAGGATGTGCTGCCCTAGGCAAATTACTTCCTCTTGAATCTCATTGGTTGAATGCAATAGTTTAGAGACTTAGAGTGGAACTGGCTTATCCTGTTAACTGTTATGATGACTCCTTTGTCTTAAGAGATCTAACCCCCCCTCCCCCCCCTACCGTTCCTGTGTTATCCAGGTACATCAGTTCAGTAACAAGCAGACAGAGATGGCACTGAGGGTGGCTTCCCTTGATTATCTTGGGACTGTTGCTGCAAGGCTCAGGAAAGATGCAGTGACGAGCAAAATGGATCAGAGTTCGATAGATCGCATTCTGAAACGGGTAAGTTAGCAAGAGTGTTTTCCCAGATTCCATGCCTTTTGGATTTATCACAAGTCACTATTAAACCCAGGAGCTTCAGTGACTGTTCTTTTTCCTGTATTTTTAGTGTTCAGAATCAAAGTGTATGATTCATGGTTTCAAACAATATAAAAAGAAGAAGCAGCGTTACTGCTTTCTTACAGATGTTAGAAGCTAGGTAATGCCGGGCCTGTTCAGTACCGGGGTGGGAGACCTGTAGGGAAATCCAAGCTGCGATTGGTGTTTATGAACCAGGAGGTGCTTTCCTTCACATCAGACATTAGACTGAAGTCCTCACTCATTGTTTAAAGATGATGTCATTAAAGATCTCATGTTACTGTTTGTTAAATTAGGGCCTTGTGTCCTGGCTAAATGCCATAGTATTGGTAAAGTAGTTTCTTACTTTTCCACTTAATCTTATGTTGTGTGGCTTTAGACACAATGCTTGCCACATGATCTCCAAGGTGGGTGGTAATGAAGTGTCTTCTCCTATATGTAGAGTTCTTTGGGGTCTTTTGGGATGAAAAGCATTATAGTTTTATATTACCAAGCACGCCGATATACAGAATACGAAAATGACATTTACGTTTCTTTCATCACATCATCAATTCTTTTAATCAGTCAACTAAAACAGAGAGCACATTCTCAGTTAAAATGTTAACCTAGCCAAGAAAGTTCACACACTGCAGCAAGACAAATATAGTTACTCTGAGCAAACTATAGACTAAATAAAATACATCTGGAGAAAATGAAAATGCAAACCAGACATAAAATGAATAATGATCAGCATATCTAAAAGCTTCAGCTGTTCCAGTGTACAATTGAAGTGCTGAAGCGAAACCACATGAGTGAAAATGTTCCAGCTGTTTGTAACAGCAAGTTCAAAGAGAAATCCCATGATACTGTTGGAATATTTAGATTATATTTTGTCACATACCTTGAAGTTTATGATGGCTACCAGCAATAAATAAAATTTGTAAATCCTTCAGGTGTGTATGACACTGGACACATGTATCTGCAGCTCCTCTGTGGCACACCATACACTTATCAACATGTTACAAACTATACTGATGCTGCTGTAGGTATGGACCCTTCAATCCTATAACTTTTCCTTCAAACCTTCATTCTTTTGCAGTCTTCGGGTAATGATGATATCCAGCAGCTTCAGAAGACATTACTGGATTACCTGGATGAAAACGCTGAGACTGACCCATCGTTGGTTGTAAGTAAATTGACATGTTGTTGTGTCTGACAATGTAAATGTTGAACTTGATTGCTTTCAGTTTACTTCTTTTTAAGAACATGAAGGGTAACATTTGTGGTAACACCTAACAGTCCACAAACAGATGAACTTGCATGTTGTCCTGGTCTTCCACAGTTTGCGCGGAAGTTCTACATTGCTCAGTGGTTCCGGGACACTACAACAGAGACAGAAAAGGCCATGAAGACGCAGAACCAGAAGGATGAGGATTCATCAGAGGGGACGCACCATGCAAAAGACATAGAGACGACGGGAGAGATCATGCAGAAAGCAGAGGCTCGGAAGAAGTTCCTTCGTTCAATCATTAAAACTACACCATTGCAATTTAGCACATTAAAGTAAGCTTTGGTTTTTAAGTTGTTCCGTACTGCTCTTATAGACATAATTCTAGTAAAATGTTTCAGAGCTTTTGGTTAGGTGCTTTCCTCCACAAGACTCCGCTTAAGTTTGCTTTTCTCAAAGGAAAATAAATTCTGTGGATTAGTTGATATTTCAGGGTAGTTGATATAACGTGCGTTATTCTTAAATCATTTTTTGTAGATTTCCTATATCAGAAAACCTGCTTCACATGTACAATACAGTGTTATTAAAGAGAAGTGTTTAAATATGCAAGGTTCTTACATTGATTTCTCCACAGAATGAACTCTGATACTGTGGACTATGAGGATTCCTGCCTGATTGTCCGATATTTGGCCTCCATGAGGCCGTTTGCACAGAGCTTCGATATTTATTTAACACAGGTGAGCACAGAATTGCATAGACCACTTAGGAGAAGCAGCTATAGTGTTATATGATATGGTGAAGGGATACAATCTTTGCAAATAGTGCAATTAATGTGTGAATAATGTGTGCGACATGACAGTTCCTTTGCTGGAGCTCAGAATTTCCTCTTTGGCACTATGTTGATGGTTTCAGAAAAAAACAGGGTTTTGAAATCAGTAGGGCTATCAATAAGAAAAGTAACAAGCTGCAAACTAGGGACTATGGGCATTGTGGTGCTGCAGTTCAAAGTGTGATCAGCAAAGTTATCACCTAATAAAAATATATTTTCAGGATTTACCTTGAGGTGTTCTTCTGAAGTATAAAAAAATATTGCTTTCTTTATAGATTCTGCGGGTTCTGGGAGAGAGCGCAATTGCTGTCCGGACGAAAGCCATGAAATGTCTCTCAGAGGTAGTAGCTGTGGATCCAAGCATTCTGGCCAGGGTATGTTCCTAAGTATTCATTGCAGAACCTCTATCAGTGAAGTGGAGCATGTGTTTCCCGCAGCAGATGGGATTGTGAAGTTTCCTTTTGTCTTCCATAGGGTGTAGCAGTGGCCGGTGTTTGTTCTACTCATTGGCGACGTGAGCATTGATGTCTTGGGTTTGTGTTTTTGACTCTGCAGCTGGACATGCAGCGTGGTGTTCATGGACGGTTGATGGATAACTCCACCAGTGTGAGAGAGGCAGCAGTGGAGCTACTAGGACGCTTCGTTTTGAGTCGGCCACAGCTTACTGAGCAGTATTATGATATGCTAATAGAGAGAATTCTGGTATGTCCTGTTCACATTTATATTGACAGTGTCGATGGGAGAGAAGTTCACCAAAATGTTGAAAATCTTAAGATTTTTGTTAGCAGCAGTGATCAATAATGGTGGAGGTGTTCTTAATCTTGTGCTTCACATTCAGATTTCCATAGCTAGGGCGACATCAGTAATAAATGACTTGCTTAGCAAAGGTTGTAATTGGCTTTGTATCCAATTTGGTTGAACATGTTCCTAAATTAGCCTTCTATCTACGATTGACAAAAGCAGGGATTTTCAGTTTTAAGGATGTTTTTTTAAGATGGGTAGCAATACAAAACTGAGCAACACATACCTTGTAAATGTCTCAGATCCATTTAATGAAAACATTCTTTAAAATTCGTGATTCCTTTTACAGCAACAAAAAACATGTAGGATTTAAAGCCCCATTTTCTTTTGCATCAATCAAACGTTCTTGCTTCTGATGCATTAAATATGTTGTAATTTAAAATGAGCACAGTATCAGAATTAGGATGGACAATTCAAAAATTTCAAATGCAAAGTTCACAGTCTGTATTAAAGTTCATTTTAGGTAATGTTCATTGTACTACATTGCCACCTAGAGTTCATACATTGAATTTCATGTAATCTGAAGTTGATTCAAGAAACTTGTTAGGCTTTGTTTTTTTATTTAAAGGATAGAATTTGACTTTATTTGTAACCTTTATATATACACATTTTTTAGTCATACCTGATAGTGTACTAATTCCGAACCATGTAAAAATAGTTGTCGATGAAGGGTTGTCTTTAGTAATGTTTTAGATTTGTCACCTGTCATCAAATAATTAGTTTTAATATTTTTGAAAAGTTTGGTAACTTCTCTTAATGACTTTTAAGTTAGCATTCAGTACTTAAAACATTGTAAACAAATTACAAAATTTCAATCATGTCACGATATTTTACGTTTTCTTCTACAGGACACTGGTATCAGTGTGAGGAAAAGGGTAATTAAGATCCTCCGAGATATCTGTCTTGAACAGCCGACATTCAATAAAATTACAGAGATGTGTGTGAAAATGATTCGCAGAGTCAATGATGAAGAAGGCATTAAGGTACGTCAGTGGTCAGGCACAAGCCAGTGACCATATTCAGCAGCTTGATGTACTTGATGCAGCACGTCTGCATTGTTGAAATATGTGTACTTTCCTTTTACAGAAACTAGTGAATGAAACATTCCAGAAGCTCTGGTTCACTCCCACTCCCAATCATGATAAAGAAGCGATGACCAGGAAAATACTCAATATCACTGATGTGGTAGGTTTCCCATGTTTCAGAAATTGAATTTCTATTAGTCATACACATCTTCCCTTAAGGGTAACAATCAGTTAGAAGCTTAGTACTCATCTGTTGTAATATTCAGAGGTAAGAGTCCTTCTGTTCCTATGTGCACCTTCACCTAATCAATTATCTGAAGGCTTTTGAACTCAGCAGGAGAAGAAAATGTAAGAAATGTTACAAAGGAGAGTTGTTTCGGGCCCATTAAACTCATTTGGTTGCTAGCACGTAAATTGATCAGAGGATCTCCTATAGCTGTTTCATGAAAGAAACAAGCATTTCAGCTTTGACAGCATGATTGAGCAGCTTGATTCAGACTCTTGCAACCCTTTTTAACAGTGCCCCAGCTCTGTGTCCCCTGGTTCATGTTTGACTGTAAATCCTAAAAAAGTCTTTTGGCTCGTCATTGTCAGTTCCTTTTATTTTGAATACCTGAATGAGGTCTCAAAGTAGTCTCCTCTGTTCAAGATTAAAAGATTCATTTTTTAGGCCTTTCAATGTAGGATATTCCTTTGAGCCTGAGTTTGTACTTGTTGCTGTTATCTGGTAGAATATTTGAAATGATCATGTATGATATATACAAGATTCGGAATATTAAGGTTATGCTTATGTCCATTATTTACCTCTAAGAGCAAATGAGGTCATAGAATGAAAATGGTTTAAGAATTTGTTTTCCAGTTCTACTTAGTCTATGACTAAAACTGACATGGTGAGCTTTTGTTCTACAAGTTACCTTCCAAAAACTAAAATGTTAATTTCTATTTCCAATCTGTAATAGCAAAAGTTAGTATGTGCAATAGTTGTGTGATGGGTTCTCTATGATGCAAAGTGAAACCTGTACTATTAATATGATGCCTGCTCTATGACGCAGGATCAGTGTGTGCTAACTCATGTGATGCACTCTCCAAAGTGAAAAGTGCATGTAAATAAACTGATGTAACAAGATTCATCATTTTCCAAAACATGTTCTTCACAGGTTGCTGCCTGCAGAGATACTGGTTATGACTGGTTCGAGCAGCTTCTTCAGAATGTGAGTGTTAGTTATTTTAGGGTTCAGTGCTTGAACAGCATATGAAAGATTTCTTTGGACTCTTTTTATTTAGAAAATCTAAGAGTTGTGGTCCTTCCCGTTCTGTTCTGAGTTTTTTTGTAGGAATCTTATGAGGTATTAAAAGTCTACTGTCATTTTCTTGATGGTTAACCTAAGGAGAGATTATTAAAAAAGTAAAATCGCTGAGTAATACCTTAAGACATCTAATAAACTCTGCTCTTAATCTGTCCCTATACTAGTTGTTCCTTTGAAAATGAACTTACATTTCTGTTTTACTTATGGGAAACTGGATGTTCCCAATGTTTGCTGTTCTTTCCTTGGAACTGTGAAATTAAAACTGGACTTATATATTACTTATAGGTCATTGATTCTTAGAACATTGAGAACATGCCAGATTTATCTACAGTTAATTTTAGCTGGTGCCAGATGTCTTGATGCAAAATCAGTATTCCTACCTGTTCGGTTCTTTTGACTTTACTGCATTAGTGTTAGGTTTAAGGGAAACTGCAGTAACAATTTATCTTACCAATTATTAAATCTCTGTAACAAAATTAATTGAGAGTATGGCAAAATTTTAAAAATTTCTAATTAAGCAGAAAATCATTAACTTTATGAAAGTGCTGTATAGTTGCCATTATGACAAATGGCCCTGGTTTCACCACAGGCGAAAGCAAGAGTTCACGCAAATTGCAACGTGACGCAGCCCTTCCTGCTCACTAGTCATTGTAATGCGACCTGTGAGCAAATAAGAGGTTTGAAATGCCCTCATCAATGCCAATTCTAACCCTGAAATAAATATCCCTGAAACCCTGAAATGAAATATCTTTAAGTGCTCTGAGGTGTCTTCTGTCTGTCAATTCGTTGTTTATGTAATTTTTTGTGAGTGTATTTTGAAATCCGTTTCTTATGTCAGAACCTTTTATGTAAGTTGAATAATCTTAAATGCAGAACCCTTTAGGTAATTTGTAGCTTGGTTAAAGTGAATTTGTTCTTTTTGTAGTTGTTGAAATCTGAAGAGGATGCCTCTTACAAGCCAGCAAAGAAGGCATGTGTACAGCTTGTTGACAATCTAGTAGAGCATATCCTCAAGTATGAGGAATCTCTAGCAGGTTTGTACTTTATTGAATAACTTTTCTCAAACTGCTGTCCGCTTTTGTCGATTGGGTGTCTGCACAGAGCATTAAGTGTGAATGGGTTTGTGTTATATTAATAATTTGTTTTTTCACCAGTAACTTATTCTTATTCATCTTTTCTTCTTGCCACTTAGATTCGGAAAATAAAAGTGTAAACTCCAACCGCCTGGTTGCATGCATTACTACTCTGTACCTGTTCAGCAAGATTCGTGCGCAGCTGATGGTGAAACACGCGATGACCATGCAGCCGTACCTCACCACCAAGTGCAACGTAAGGGCACTATAGTCGTCTCAAAACAGCGTCGGCACAAAAGCTAGCAAATTAGGAAGGAGGAAGCCAGTGTTTTTAGAATAAGAAAGATTTCAACAAGAAGAGTCTCTTCATGGAAGTAATCTTTTAATCATGTCAACTAAATACAGTACCTCACACTTGGGCAGTTGTTCAGCACAATTCAGAAGCTTGTCTCCCAAAAGATGCAGTACATTCGTTGCATACTGTTTCCCAGTAGATTGTGCTTCTGGCAGTCTTTTGCATCCTTTGCAGAGACCACTAGTTCTAGTGTTTTTGAGGGAATGTACTCAACAGGATTGGATATCACGAACCAGGATTTTGTATTGCTGTTGCATATCTGTAAATATGGCCCTATGTTATTTTAATTTTAGTAGATGTAGATGTAGATGTAGTTGAAAAACATTTCATTTATGGTGAGTCTTTTACCTTTAAGATAATAGTTTGTAGCACAAATAGTTTTTGAGTGAGTGGAGCCCCTTTCCATTCCTTTGTGTTTGTCTTTCAGACCCAGAGTGACTTCATGGTCATCTGCAACGTAGCCAAGATCCTGGAGCTGGTCGTGCCTCTGATGGAGCACCCTAGTGAGACTTTCCTCGCCACCATCGAGGAGGACCTCATGAAGCTCATCATTAAATATGGCATGACTGTAAGTCAAACAGCCCTTCTGAACAGAACGTTGGCTGGATTTGAACTGAAGTTGCAGCTTTCCTTGTGAAGATTTCTTTGCTCTCAAACTACCCTTCTTTTTTTTCCAAGGTGGTACAGCACTGTGTGAGCTGCCTGGGGGCTGTGGTCAATAAAGTCACACACAACTACAAGTTTGTTTGGGCGTGCTTCAACAGGTATTATGGTGAGTATAACGAATATTAAAAGACCTTTACCCAGCTGGTCATATAAAGCACATCCCTTTTTATTTTACATAGCCATCATTGTCAGTACCTTCTTCTGTCCAGCTGGTGGCTTTGACCTAGGTCTCTAGGAATTCTGAAATTTAAAATAATGCATTTATAATTTATATTTTTAAACTTTGTAAATGGCTTTCAGGGTATGTGCAAGGCTGTTTTTACTTTCGTGCACACGCTGAAAGCTTTTTTTAATAATAATAATAATAATAATTGCTTACACTTATATAGCGCTTTTCTGGACACTCCACTCAAAGCGCTTTACAGGTAATGGGGACTCCCCTCCACCACCACCAATGTGTAGCATCCACCTGGATGATGCGACGGCAGCCATAGTGCGCCAGAACGCTCACCACACATCAGCTATCAGTGGGGAGGAGAGCAGAGTAATGTAGCCAATTCATAGAGGGGGAGTATTAGGAGGCCATGATTGGTAAGGGCCAATTGGAAATTTGGCCAGGACACCGGGGTTACACCCCTACTCTTTTCGAGAAGCGCCCTGGGATTTTTAATGACCACAGAGAGTCAGGACCTCGGTTTTACGTCTCATCCGAAGGACGGCGCCTGTTTACAGTATAGTGTCCCCATCACTATACTGGGGCATTAGGACCCACATGGACCACAGGGTGAGCGCCCCCTGCTGGCCCCACTAACACCTCTTCCAGCAGCAACCTTAGTTTTTCCCAGGAGGTCTCCCATCCAGGTACTGACCAGGCTCACACCTGCTTAGCTTCAGTGGGTTGCCAGTTGTGAGTTGCAGGGTGATATGGCTGCTGGATATCCCCTAGTGAGAACCGAGCTCAGTAGGAGGATACTCATCAACTGGTGAAATAATGGGGGTATACACACTGCTTTGAATGAATGAGGTTTCCTGATGTAAAGTGGTCATAACTACCGCCATGCAGAAAGTGTTGATAGGGTATCTGATTTGCTTTGTGCAGGCGCAATAACCAAGTTAAAGACGCAGCATCAAGAGGATCCAAACAGCACTGTTCTCACTGCCAATAAACCTGCACTACTTCGTTCACTCTTCACTGTTGGTGCACTGTGTCGACATTTTAACTTTGACCAGGAGGAGTTCAAAGGCAGCAACAAGGTAGTTTGAAATGCCTTTTCAGTTCAGCAGATGTTTAACACTTTTTCACATGACAGACGTGGAAGCATCCTGTTAAAAAACAAATTTGTTTTGCAGAATTAGTCAGCAAATGGAGATGTTTATCTTTAAGAATTTTGTTTTTTAATTTTGCCAAATTTGACTGTAACTGCCTCATTCTTGCAAAGAGTTTGAAACATTAAATATTTCTTTACTAAGGCATTTGTTCACAGCCGTGTTTATTTCTATTTAGGTTGTCATAAAAGACAAGGTACTGGAGCTGCTGCTCTATTTCACCAGACATGAAGATGAAGAGGTGCAGACAAAAGCCATCATTGGTTTAGGTAAGAGCAGACGTGGAATACCGAGACTCGATCAGATTGATTCATTTCAATTGCTTTGTTTTCTTCAGCTGTGCAGAATGAAAGAGCTGTTGTTTTTTCTTTGAAAGTGACCGGAGAGACACTGTGCATTTCTTTTGCAGGGTTTTTGTTTATTCAGCACCCAAGCTTGATGTTTGAGCAGGATGTCAAGAACCTGTACAATGGTATCCTCTCAGACAAGAACTGCTCCGTTAATCTGAAGATCCAGGTCCTGAAGAACCTGCAGACTTACCTGCAGGAAGAGGACACCCGCATGCAGGAGGCTGACCGGGAGTGTGAGTTACACTGAGCCTTGGGATACAGCTGTCTGAACTAGGGCCCTGGCGTTTTACACAAAGTGCACACAGCAGTCATTCACAGAGTGGGCATAGTGAATGGTTACCCAGGTTTCGAAGGACTGCTGCTTTATGCTGGAGCTATTTGCCAGCCTGCATGGACGCAGGGTTGCAGAAGCACCTCCCATGTGGTGCTGTGACAGCCTGTGTGAGGGAGCCTTCGAGGTCCACACATTATCAGTGGGGCTTTGCAGAACAGGGATAGACGCACATTATCAGCAGCACTGGTTCCAGAAAAATACTAACACTACTTGTAACTCAGGCTTGTCCTTATGTGTTGCCTATGGGTGTTGAAATTCGCTGTGAATACATAACCATGACATAACTGGGTGTATAGACTGCAGTTTTCAAAGTATATCATGACATCAACGACTTAACGTGAAAGCTTAACATTTTGTCCTTAATTTTTGTCTTCCAGGGAAAAAACTGTCGAAACAGGAGGACTTAAAAGAAATGGGTGATATATCTTCAGGCATGAGCAGTTCAATAATGCAGCTCTACCTCAAACAGGTTCTTGAGGCGTTCTTCCACACGCAATCCAACGTTCGCCATTTTGCTCTAAATGTAATTGCCCTTACACTAAACCAAGGTCTCATTCACCCAGTCCAGGTAAGCATTGTCAAGGAAACAACTTTTAGAGCTGGTAGTGGAGTACTGGAGGTAATGCCAACAGGCCATTTGTGTGCTCCATTACTACTCAAGCCTTCTTTTCACAAATGGATGTTTATTTATAATACTGATTCTGCCTAATTAGTTATGTGCTTTGTTACATTTTAATGAGGAACCTCTTGTTCCATTTTTGTAAATGTATTTTAATTACACTGAGATTATAGCAAGTGACTGAGGACTAAATTAGAATAATTAAAAGTAATATTCCCAAGCGAATCTAATCAGGCAATCAGAAAAGTAAGAATTGCATAATGCTGTAAATATGCTTTTGACTCTTTAAAGACTATAACTAGGGTCATAATTTAATTGATGTAAAAATGAAATAATTGCATCTGCTGTGGACAAAGTGAGAAAAAATACATAAAAGTGGTTATACTTTAAGTATACTTTATATCCATTGCAGCAATTTACCAAATCCAGTGGTATTATTTTTTAAATTAAATTAAAATACTAAGAAATGAGATGGAATAAAACATAAGCATGAATTTGTAGAACCCAAAGTATTTTGCCATAATTATACTTTCAATCAAAACACAAAATTTGCAAATGTCTTTTAGTAGAAGAAAAGGCATCTGCATTTAGGGAATAAAAAAATCCCTTGAAAGTCAAATGTACAGATTCCCCACTGTTTTTTTCTGCACTTCAGAATGCCTCTATGAATTCATAAGTGACTTTTTTAGAGTTTTCAGCGCTACAGTTGAACAGCAGTGAACTGATGTTTTCCTTTTTGATCAGTCTCTGCTTCCCATAGTTTGTAGAGTTTAACTAAAGTTTTTTTCTAGAGATTGTATTTTTCAAAAGATTGATCTTCTAACTGGATGTTACACAAAAAAGGTATCAGGTAAGAGATTGGGGTATATCCGTAGTTGGGAGATGCAGATTTGAAATTTACTGCTCCAGCTGCACCACCAATCCCAACAGCTGATAGTACCTGCCAGGAAGTAACTGAGAATCTAACACACTGAGGTAGCAGTTCTGTTTTGTAATGCATTCCCAATGCAGGGCTAGAAATCACAGTAAAAGCCTGACATTGCTATTTCTGCAATGTTGCAAATTAGGCAGGGTCTGAAATCTACCCTTTTTTGAGCAGGATGGGAATGAACTTGTTTTTTAGCACTCAGTTCTCAGTGTTCAGTATGAATCTTTTTACATGTAAAAGCACTTTCTGTGAAACAAGTGTAGTGACGTGGATGTCAGCCCCATACTCATACAGGTCTTTTAAAATGCCTTTTCATTTTCAGTGTGTGCCATACCTGATAGCCATGGGAACAGACCCCGAGCCCAGCATGAGGAATAAAGCAGATCAGCAGCTGGTAGAGATTGATAAGAAGTACACAGGATTCATTCATGTAAGCATAACATGCCACGTCTAGACTAGTGTTTTCAACATTTAAGTCTGTTGTAAATGTTAAAGATGCATGGAAATCTAATGTTTTGGTGCCATTATACATTATATTACAGTGAGTGTAAATATAAAGTTTACAATTATGTATTTGCTTTTAATTCAAACTGTTTAATTCACAAACAACCGAAACCCAGCACAAGAAGATATATTGTATGATTGGATATACCAATAACCAGTCGATACAAATTTGAAACTTACTGTTCCAGCTACTTGAATAAAAGCCCCTCCTTATCAATGTTTCATTGCTCATTGTGCAAAGTGTTGGAGATAATAGTACAAATATACAGTGATATGTTTCAAAAATAGATCAAAATTATAACTACAAAAATTCACAAAATTAACAGAAAAACGAATATAGTAGTAATGCTTAACACTGCACACTTGGAAAGTGAGATTCTGGTACTACTAGCTACATAACATCTAACATGTCAGTGTGAAGCCTCCGACTCCAGACCCCTGGTCATCTTTCTTCCAGCGTTTATTATACATGGCCTTGATATCCATGACAACAGATAGCCAGGTGGCCAGTGATGAGGAAAAGATGTCAATCCTCCATGAGTCGAAAATAATTTGATGGTTAACTTTGTTTTTCAGCATTTTTTTAACCAGAATTATATACATTAGTAATGTTGTAGTCATGTTAAAATCTGTAGCAGTTATAGAAAGTCTTAAGTTGCAGGAATCGTAATTGTTTTCTTACAGCTTCAGTCATTAAATAGTATAAGTATGCTGTGACTCCTAGTCACAATTGGTGTTCAACCTGTATCTGTACCCCTCTCTTGATATAACTCAGGAGGTGAAAGGCCAAGCATTTTTCAATTGTTTTTTCTATTATACTGCACTGTATCATGCCAAACCTCCTCCTTTTGATGTTTTGTGCAGATGAAGGCTGTGGCAGGGATAAAGATGTCGTACCAGGTACAGCAAGCCATCTGGGCGTCCCAGGACACGATCATCAGAGGTTTCCGACAGGACGAGCAGCACACGGCCTTGTGCTCCCACCTTTTCACCATGGTGCGAGGAAACAGGCAGCACAGAAGGGCCTTCCTCATCTCCCTGCTCAACCTCTTCGACGACAGTGCTGTAAGTCACACCTGGCCTCTGTCTTCTTTCATGCACGTGTCCAAGTTCATTTCAGCACTTGGTGCTAAATTGCATAGTTTAATTAGTCTATGGGAATAAATCCAGGAGCTTGATCTGATAAGACTTAAGTCATGGCAAATGAGATCCTATAGTTATGGACATGGAATATTAACAAATGAGTGTCTATGAAATATAAGGTCGTCAGTCTGTGGGTGGTAGATGATATTCAAAAGGCTGTCACCAAGCTGAAAGCCCATAAACCATCAGTCTTGCCATTATATATAAGTTATTTAGCAATGCTGTCCAGTTAGGAATATTAAGAATCCCTGAGGGACCAGTCACTGGAATCAGTAGATAAATGTAGTTCTCCAGTCTAAATTGCATAATGTTACCATGTTTTTGTTCTTCTCAGTGGATTTGTGTTTGGAGATGGGCTGGTTTGAGCTCTTGGTATTTTCACCTTACAGAAAACGGATGTGAATATGCTGTTGTATATAGCGGACAATCTGGCCTGCTTCCCGTACCAGACGCAGGAGGAGCCTCTTTTCATAATGCATCACATAGACATCACGCTGTCGGTATCAGGCAGCAACCTGCTCCAGTCCTTCAAGGAGGTAAGCTAGCAGGGTTCACGCATTTGATTACGGAGATATCAACAGGCCACCTACTAAACTAAGCCAATGATTGCAGTACCTTTCTGCATGAGGAAGAAGATTCCGTGAAGCATCCTCACAACTCTGCCACACTGCCAGACCTCTTCAGCAGGTTGTTCTGAAGAGGGCGTTCATGGCAAGAGTAAAAGGGTTTCCTGTCTCTTTCCTAGTCCCTGCGGAAAGAACCCAGGCCGAGGGAGCGGAAGTACTGCTCCGAGGAGGATGAGGATGACATCAGCGGCAGCAGTGAGGACGGAGAAGTGAGGCGGCCAAAGAAGTCGAAGCGGCACGTGAACTCGGACTCGGACTCGGATTCCGACATGGAGGCTGAGGATGTAGAAAAGGTGATGAGCAGGTTACCAGACAACCCTGCCCCTCTCATCGACTTTGCCAACGCTTCCCAAGGAATCCTTCTCCTCCTGGTCCTCAAGCAACACCTAAAGAATCTGTATGGATTCTCCGACAGGTACAGCTCGGAACGTTTTTTGGGCGACTGTTTCTGTACTGTTGGGCAGACAAAAATGTGGTCTGTTATTTACTGTGTGTGCTCTTTCTTCAACAGTAAAATCCAGAAGTACTCCCCGACCGAGTCTGCAAAAGTGTACGACAAGGCTGTGAACAGGAAGTCATCGGTGCATTTTAACCCCCGGCAGACGATCGAGTTTCTTGCCAATGACATGGCGAATACGGAGATGACATACGAAGTCAAGAGAAAGATCGTCAAGCAGTACCTTGATGTAAGTCTTGTTGTTTTTGGATTCGTTGACTTCCAGGGGCTTGTTTTCACTGTGCAGCACAGATCTGCAGCCAATTGGCAGTTGGTTGAATTATCCTGGTGTGTTGCTGCTCATTGCAGTTTAAGTTACTAATGGAGCACTTGGACCCTGACGAGGAGGATGAGGAGGGGGAGGCGTCGGCCAGCGCGAATGCCCGAAATAAAGCGATCAATGCGCTGCTGGGAGGATCCAGCCCCAAGAACAACACCGCGGACACCGAGGACGACGAGAGCGATGGAGAGGAGAAGGGAGGAGCACCGGGGGTGAGTGAGGAGCAGGAGGACAAGACGTGCACCTGCGTCCCGTGTGTGCTCGACTCTCCCCTGTTATTGTTGACCCCTTCAAGTAGTATTGTAGTTTTCCCTGGCATTTGTGAATGGGGGGGAAAAAAGGATAAGTTTTCAAAGTAGTGGTACGGTGAGAGGTTGTTATTCACGTGATCATAATTCATAGTTTTTGTGTTTGGAATTGTAAGGCTGTATATACGTTCAAATGATGTTAATTGCTGCAGTGTTAGATGAATGTCAAATTCAGGGTATATTTGATGTATTTTAAAGATGCAGCCCATAGTTCATGTGAAAGCATCCACAAATATGATTCAGATTATTAACACCTTTTTGTCCATTACACAAAGACATGAAAAAAGCCCTCCTCCTTATGGATTGGAGCAGAAACTCACCATGTGTCTCTCTTTCCAGTAAAGTGATTAATGTTCAAGTGGTTCTGGATTTATAGAAGTGACCTTGTCTTTTGTGTCCTTCTTCTTCCCCCTCTAGTCATCAAGAAAGTCCAGGCGAGGTGGAGAGTCGGCAGAAGTTGCAGGCCATTTGAACGAGACTGTGGAAGCCATGGACGTCATCGCGATCTGCTGCCCTAAGTACAAGGACCGACCACAGATTGCCAGGGTGATCCAGAAGACCAGCAGCGGCTACAGCGTTCACTGGATGGCAGGCTCTTATAGTGGTGCCTGGGCTGAGGCCAAGAAGCGAGATGGACGCAAACTGGTGCCTTGGGTAGATACTATTAAAGAGTCGGACATCATTTACAAGAAAATTGTTCTGACGAGCGCACATAAGCTGACTAATAAAGTGGTTCAGACTTTACGATCGCTGTATGCAGCTAAGGATGGGACTTCCAGCTAATGACTTACAACTTGCAGCCAAATTCACAGGGACTGAAAAAGAAAAGACAAAAAAAAACTTGAAAATGCAACATTCTGGCAAAAAAAATTGTGGTCTGTGAAGAGCTCACGAGAGGTGGATCCAGGACACGTTTAAATAAAACACAGAAACAGAAGGAAATGTTTGGAAAACATTTTGTGGGAGCTTCCTTCGCTGTTGTGCAGCAGAAACTTCTCATTTGATTTCTACTCCCACTGTATCATAGTTTAACAAAAAATGTTTATATCTCGAAAAAAATTCTGTTTAAAAAATAAACTTAAAAGTGAATGTTGGAAATTAGTCTGTTAATGTTCTTAATAAAGTGTTCTTGGAGTTTAACCTAGCGACGGATGGCTTTCTTTAGCTTAGCTCAGTTTCCAGGGAAGCGTTTTGTTTTTTTTCCATGCTGTAAAATGGCAGAATCTCCTGGATATAATTTATTCTGTTGAAAAAAGAAGCATGCAGTATCTGTGGCCTATCTGCAGGAGGAGTTTTTTGTAAATGTAGATTTTGATGTATTAGGTCACCCTGGTAATAAGAGAAAAGGGATCCCCAGCAAAACTGGCGGAACAAATACTGCAATAAATTTTTTTACTTCTCTTTGTTACTTGTCTGTTTCCATTTGACTTCCTTATTTTGTGAAGTGGTTGTCATCTTTGTTTACGGGCTCAGAGGCTATTATGCAAGCAGTAGGAGAAGCAGTGAAATTGCAGATCCTTCCATGACCATGAGCTGGTTTCTTTAGGTCTGATAGTCTGCTTTGTAAGGTGCTGCATGAGACAAGCTGATGTATGCATTTGCTGGTGAAATCGAAGGGAAAACGATCTTGTCGTAGGAACTGACCTCTAATAGAAACAGCTTTCGAATGTCTGGCTGTGGTGTCAAGGCCAGCAGATGAAGGCCTCGGAGACTTAATTCTGTGGCAGAGACCTGCCTTAGTTGTTTTACCAAATCCTTGCAGATACATCATCTTGATCTTTTGCTTTCTCGCTTTGTCATTTTAACTACTCTGAAAAGGTGAGGATAAGAGCTTGGAAATAAAAGAAAAATGTATTGTGTAGTAAACAGCTGTTGCCCAAAATAGAAACTGTCTCCAAGACTAAAAAATGGGTTTTACACCAGTAAAGGTTGCTTTTAAGCATTTATTTGCAAGGGTGTGACACTCTTTGGCGACATCATTGCAAAAGCTTAAAAGTATTTTCAATTAAGAAAAGTGACTGTAAGCAGTACTGTACTACACTCCCTGGGATGTTCTCTCAGTTGTTCGCAATGGAACCTTTTCTCAGGTTGTTTTCTGCAAACGTTTAACTCAGTCTACTGTACAGGCACCTAAGTGTTCATGTGCTTCAGTGTCATATCCATCCAGGCTCAAAACTGCTCATAAACTACCTTACTGCAGTGCTATAATGAATACAAGATGACTTGAGCAATGAGAATTTTTGTTAGAAAGATGTTTTGGTTAGCAAATATGTCTGAGAGCCTTTGTTAACCTTCAGGTACCTCATCTTGCTTTTATTTCATTTAAAAGTGAACGGCTGAATTGGTAGCATATCTTAAGTACACATTGAGAACCCAGATTTTAACTATATATATACCTTGAAGTTGTATTAACTTGGTGGCATTTTCCCCAGGATAGAGCAGTTCAATTAATGCTTTTACATTTGTATTTAATCTTTTTACAAAAGACTGTATGAAAGATCAGCACTGAAAAAAATCTTTTGTTTTGTATTTGAAAGTGCTTTTATATATATATACACACACTTTGGAATCCTCTGAACACAAATCAGGTCAATAAAAAGCGTTCCATTTACCTTGCACGTTGTATGTATTAAAACGTTATTGAGAGTTTCAGAATGAAGTCGCACATGTTGCAGTTGATGATAAATGCCTTTTTTTAGACTGGCTAGATTCAAGCCAAGATTGAACAGGTATGTACTTAAGGACAAGAAGCCAACTGCCACTTGGAGTGGAGAACTGCCCATGTTCATTTACAGTTGTTTGTTAGATTTCCAAGAAATATTCTCTTTGCCTTGACCAGTTTTGCAATTTGACATTATGCTGACTGCACACATTGATCCTTACTCAAAGCAGGAAAGGGTTTTCTTCTCTGTTCAAGTGCAGCTGCTGTGAACACAGGTTTTACGCTGGGTCCCTGCAATAACAGTTGACCATCACTGTTGTGTTGTGGCTGGTAGTTTAAGCCCGAAGGAGCAAGGAATCTCCAGCTCTGCTCCCGAGGAACCCCAAATGGACTCCTTATAGGTCACCTCTATTTAAGATTGGTAACACCTGTAAGCTAATGATGGTTCAAACAAGTAATCTGTTCATTTAAGAGAACTCTAGTCTTTGAGAGAGCTAAAGGGATCTTCTATCATACTTCTACAAGATCTCTAACAGATTATATTTAATGGATCACAATCAAACTTTTCCATAGCTTTACAAATTGGTAGTTTAATGGTGTCCTACAAACCTGCTTGAGTGGGATTCTCCAGAGCCAGGACTTGAAACAGCTTCCCTAGCAGAAAAGTACAGTGAACCAAACTAGACCATTTGCAATAGTGGTGACTGTGCAAGGCAAATACTTATATGGGTGCGTTGCCTCCATTTCACCCTGACAAAAACCCAGCTGCATCCTTTAATACACACACGGGCTGGAGCAGGTTTGCAATGCTGCTTCCAGAGGAAAGGCTGAACCAAACGCCTACAGGCTAAAGGTGGTACACAGGTCGAGTGTAGGATCTTCTGAGTGCATCTCACTGCAGCTAGCCTGTGATGTACCAGCAGCAACAGATGATTGGATTCAATTGAGATTACCTTTCATTGTTTTATTGATGAAGACCAGGCCATCGGCCCATTAACCCTTCACAGTTAGCTCAGACATGTTATTGAGAGATGGCAGATGAGAATCCACAATGTGGCCTTCCACAAGTTTAAAGCTGAAGTTGTATAAGGACCGATACAATGTTGGTACCTGATTTTTTTCATTTGCTGAATTTAAAAACTGGAACTTGGCATAATTTAGAGCATCTGGTGTTGCCTAGAGAAATACAGTAAAGCATAAAAGTTTGTTTTATAATGGGAGAAAGCAGCAGCCATTCTTATTATTTTACATATAGTGCAGTCTGATGCACAATTTAATGGTTAAGCTCATTCACACGAATTTCACACTACATACCTTTCTCTTGCCATTTAATTGAAAGCAAAATTCACATTTGCGTTTTATCTGGGAGCTAATTTGTTTTGTACACATGATATTTCTTTTCTATTGCTGTTAATATCAAATGCTATTAAGTATGAGCTTTTAACTAAAGCCTTAAAACAATCATTTCTGTACCTTTATGCCAAAGTGTTAACATCCTCCTCCTGTTCAACCCCACAGGGTTACAGTACAGGTATCCCCTGTTCCTGGCCTCCAAGCCAATTTCTCAAATTAAGTATAGTGAGAGAACACACATTTGTGACTTTGTAAATGTAGCTCTCTAGGAATATTTTAAGTTGTGACCAACATAAGTGAAGAATTTCTGCTTCCTTTTTATATATATATCTTGCAGGAATCGAGCTTTCCCCCAAATACAGAATAGCTGGGTGACACTAATAAACTATCGAAATTATCTCTGTATGTTGTTTTTTTTTTTGGCATCCACATTTTTAAAAAAAACTGTTTTATCCAATTCAGGGTTGCGGGGGAGCAGGTCTCTAAAACAGGTACAAGGCATAAATTAGCTTTTAAAAATGTAAGAAGTAGCCTTTGACAAGTCTAGGGAAGATGACATTTCAGAATGTGGAGATGGTAAAAAAAAATACTTAACTATAATTAAACACAGCAGGTGTTTGACAGTTATTTTATATGATGATTATGCTACATACATGTATATATCATTAGTTTAAGTAATGATTTTAATTGGTTCACCAAGATTAAACCAGTTACAGGATTGGGATTTATGGCACTTTACTGCCCCGTAGTGGAGCAATTTGGTAATTGCAGCATTAACTCAAAAAGTCTCTTGGTCACAAAAAAATCTAATATCTGATATCAGAACAATTTCACAAAGCACATTTCAGTGAAATTAAATCTCACCAAAAACAGTGATCCAGCCCAAACTATCTTCATTTTTTTTTTGCTTTATAAGAATTTGGATTTTTTTTCCTGGTAGTGGTGGTACTTGAGGAACTAGATGTGCATTGCTGGAATGTGAAAAAAAACAAAACAATTCATACTATTGCCAGTGTTAACAATAGTACACCTGCAACATGGACAAAGAAAGCCCCTTTTCAAAAATGCTTTGGTGAAACAGGCAACAAGACTGTCCTCCTGCTCCCTGGAGGAGCTGAATGTCAAAGACTGATTCCCCAAAAGTCATATTTAAGCTATCCAGCTAGGGAGAAGTGCCTAGGTCATATCCAACAGTAATATTGGTTTACAGCCCAGTGTCTGTCACTCTTCCTAGAACAGAATATAAATTAGGAATCAGGAAGACTTCCACAAGGACTATGGCTTGACCCATCTGTGGCTCAGACAAAGCCAAAGCCAAATTCAAAACCAGACTGTATACCACCCTTGTGCTGGTCTCCCTGCACAGGCTTCCAGTGAAGTTTAGGATTTATTTTAATAGTTTATTCAATGGATAAAGTTCTTGAAAGGTCTGAAATCAGACTGTTTAGTTTTTGTGCATATACAGAATATTCCATCACCTGATCAACCTCTACGGCTGTACTGTAGAGAGCTTTCCCATACTGTGCCAACAGTCTTTATCAGAAGTGCTACCTCAGATTTTAAAGTTAAAATACTTTAACCTTAACCTGAATCTCTTGTAATACTCCCATGTGCCAAGGTGCAATTAATAAACTGGGTGAAAATGAAAAATTTGAAAAATGAAGTTTGTCCTTATTTTTGTAAAATGCAAATGACCAGAGAAAAACATATGATCCTGCTTTTTGAATTGCTGTAAAAAAAAAAAACAGGTGACATTTAGATGGTCAGGTACACAGTGAGAATGAACTTGTTTTCCATTTTAGGTTTTAAAAATTACAATAACATTAAAAAAAATAGCCAGGATTTATTTTGAGAATGCTGCAAAATAAATTACATTTTCATGTGTAATACAACACAATCAATAAAAGAAAACAATAAGTTAAAAAAGCATGTTCACACGATACAATCACTAAGCTCAATTTTTCATTTATTGAACGAAAAATTCAGTGATAATGTGTTGACCAAGATAAGGTCAATTAATTTACTATGATTTCTTTGGGTGATGGTTTTATCTCTAGTGACTCACAATTGTACCCATTCACACCTCTGGAGCAATCCGAGAACAGCTCCATGCTCAAGTTAAGGCACCATTGCGACCGAGAAGGCATCCAGGACAAATAAGCGTTTTCTTCTGAAACCCTCCAGCAGGATTTTTAATTAAACGAGTCAGAGCACTGCACACCCTTTCCTGCTTAGAAAATGTCAAGTTTAAGCAGCACCTGAAGTGAAATAATGCAGTCCATTCTCAGCGATCAGGCACTCTCTCTACACCATTGTTCAGGACAGTAACTCCCAGTCCTGCGCAATTTCAACGTCCCCCTCGCTGGCCACCATGTTCTCGATCGCTGCCCAGTCCAGCTTGCTCAGGATGCTGCCTGTGCTGTCAGACAGGGCGTCCAGCTCGTTCAGCCCGTCCAGATCTGCCCTCCTCAAAGGGGACCGATTGCCTGAGAGGCCCTGTGGCAAATGAATGGAGGAAGGGGTTTACAGAGTCACGATCAAAGATCACACACTGTGCACCTTCCCAGAGAAAGCACTCAGAGTACTGTGGCCCCTGTGGACATTGATTCCAAGTACAATCCTGCCATCCCAGCACACCCCAGATGGATGAAGATGTTAGGAACCCATTTCTACACCTAGATTAATACTGGGAAGAAAAGGTGGAATCTACAGATGTCCACTGCCGTCTTGGAAAGATTAGTCAGTGCTACAGTGACAGGTCACTCAGATCAGTCCACTGTGAAAGAGAGATGGGTCTTTAAAGTGGAGGTCACAATAACACCCATGGTTGCCAGTATAATGGCTTACTTTGTGTTTCTTTTTCAGACAAATTCACACTCAGATTGAATGCATTGTCAAACACATTGTGTGCTTGGACAGTAAGGCCCTCCCAGAGCCCACACTCATAGCTCCGTCTTTCCCTGGGAAATGGCCCAAAAGCAGGAGTTCTGCCCCAAGCGGGGCTAGGCAGTGTTCCTGGAAATGAAGGGGATGAGATTTTGGTTGGGGTCCAATTTTCTCAGTATATATATATAAAAAAAAATTTAATTGTTCAGAACATTTCTTTGGAGAGTCTCCACGCAGGGAAGTAGTTACTGGTTTGTGTCCAGGGATGCTGCCTCATGCTGTGTGGCCTGTGTCAGTGCCCCCTACCTGCAGGAAGAGCTCATTCTCCACACCCCGCAATGTGTGGAACTTTGCTGGGGTACTCGGAGAGACCACTGCCCCCCACACCTCTGGGGCCTCCAGTCCGCTCCCTCTGGGGCTCACAGAAGGCCTCCCTGCCTCCCCTCTCCTCCCTGCGGCACAGAAAACAGCAGCTTAGAGGGGAACAACGGTACTGAATCTGGAGCTCTGAATCAAGACTACCTACAGGCAAGAGTGAAGAGTCAACAGTTACACACAGAAAGTAGCAATCTGCAATACAGTAGTAAAAATGACAAATTGATCTAGCAAGAGAGTTAGGTAAATGAAATATAATACACACAACCCCTCCGTCTAAACAAGGACACGCACCAGAGGATCAAAGGGGCAGTGAAACTTTACAAGTTAGGTAAGAACAGGCTTCGCTTGTTTGCAGGATACACTTCAGCAAACAAAACACAGCATGTCCCTGGAGTTTATCATGCAGTATAGTAAATAACATCAATTTAAATCTATAAATGCAAAAGCTTTGTGGCTGATCAGCATGGTATGCAAAGCTGTCACTCTCTGCTTGTATTGTAGTCATTACTGTGTCATGCAGTTTCACACCGTCTTCTTTCAATTGGCATACTGGAGAACAGAACTGCTAACCAGTGGATTAGAACATAAGTGCACTGGGACGGATATTGCTGGCTCAAATCCGCTGCAGTTCTGTGGCACAGCCAACAGGTACTTGTTCAACAGGAAGCACTATTTGCTGAGTAGAGTTTGTCTGGCGATTCCTGCTTTCGTAATTCTCAATCTGTCAAGTTGTGGAACTAGTAACTGTACCTTTTCCTGACATTTTTAAATTACTCAAATAAATTACTAATCAGCAAGTTTATTATCTTTATAGTCTGAGAGAGTCACCCTTTTTAAAGGCACATTAAGACAACAAAGCAGGGATCAACACGAGGCCAAATCTGGTCCACATCATATACAACTGAATGGTCCTCGTTTCTTTCTCAGGGAGGTAGCAGATCTTTAGTGCCGGCTGACCCAACCCGAGCGGTCCGATCCCAGGCGCTGGTCCTCACCGCGGCTGTGCACTGGCGCTGCCCGCTCCCTGTCACCTCGTCTGCTGCGCCAGGCATCCGGGTCCGGGTCGCTCACCATCCCCCTGCGGGTCAGCTGGGACATGCGGTCCCTCGGGAGTGCGCTCGCTGCCAACCGAGACCGCACACACTCAGTCGAGCGC